GGATCAGGACAGCAGCTCTGCCCCTCCGTGGCACAAACGAGGGAAGGAAGGGCCACACTGATGCTGCCTCATTAAGAGGAGCCAGCACACAGTGATTGTGCCCCTGTAAGTGCCGTGTTTACACTGGGCCATCCCCTGGCCCTCTGGCAGCAGGGAGGGCGGATGCAATTAAAAGTCACATCTAAAACACGAGCTTCAGCTTTTAGTCACATCACAGAGATCAAGACTGCTGTGACTAAGAGTCCTCAGCACTGAAATCAAACCAAACCAAACAGGAAACTGCCCTCTGAGACTTCTGGGTCTGGAGAGCTGAGGTTTTTAATCACCTAGGAAAAAACCTCCATTTCCTAAATTCAACCTGAGGGGCAGAAAGCAACTCAAAAAAAGAGAGAAAAATACATCAAAATAACAACCTCATGGAAGCTTTCACCTCTAATGGGCTCAACACTTATCCCACAGAGGTGCCTGTAGCCCTCAGCCATCTCCCACCTGGAACCCTGCCAGTTTTGCAGGAGGAAAAAGCATCTGTAGGTTTACTCTAATCTCAGAGGCTGGAGCTGGAACACAGGCTGCACCTGCTGCTAAGCCAGCCCTCAGCAAGCTGTGCTCCAAAATCCCCTGAACACTGGGGTAAGAGGCAGGGGATCTCAGTGGTTCTGCCCCACCTCAGCAGGAGCTGCCCTTCCTCCCAAGGCATAACCAGGAAGTTTTCATAGCAGAGGCTTCTGCCAGGGAGGAACTCCAGTGTTTCCCACCCTGACCAACCAGAATGCCCCAGAGCATTCCCAGCAGCCTCTGACAGCTCTGCAGGAAATGGCCAGTTTGGCAACGTTCTCTCTGTGTTCCATAAATCAGGTATTAAATCAGCAGCTCAGGTGTTAAATCACTCTGGTCAGTCCCAGAGGATCTGCCAGCTGCAGGGACATGGCAGGGCTGCTGCACCCAGCCCACACTCAGACAAAGCATCTCCCAGGAAAGGAAAGAGAAATCCTGCTTTTATTCCATGCGCTACTTACTTTTTATTCCAACCACTGTAGTGGATAAAGTATTTCACTTGCTTGTCCTTTATGGCAACCTTTACACACTGGAACAGAGAAGAAAGGTCAGTCAGTCCCAGGGAAAACAGGGGGAGCTCAGGGAATTTTGCTGCTTTAGCTTGCAGTTCTCCCTGCCCCTGAACTTCTTGGCTGCACAAATCAAATCCACCAACTCAACACTTCCTCCAGGAAGTTCAAGTCCTGTTCTGGAGGTGCTGAGATTCAGCTGCCACTGCCCCCTGACAGTGACAGAATGAGGCTGCCGTAAAACCCGCAGGGCTCCAGATCTGAGTCTCTGTAAAAGGGGCTTTTCCTGCACTGAAGTAAAAACCGCTCCCAAAATTACATTTGGTATTTGCCTGGCACGCAGAGCCACCTCCACGTGTTTGAGAGGGCAGAACCTTTGGCTATACAACATTTTCCCAAGACCACACTGTGCTGTACCCACTTCAGCTACAAAATATTGCCAGAGAGGAACCTCCCGTTCCAGGAAACGGCTGCAAAACGCCACACACGGAACTTAAACCCAGCCAGGACTAAGGTTCTCCTGCTCTGCTGCAGCAGTGCCTGTTCTGACAGCCTGGAGCTAACCCAGCCACACACAGCCTGTGCCTGCCTCTGCTTGTTTTGGTGAATAAAGGGCTGAGCACCAAGCAAAAGATGACTCAAATACAGTTCTGCAGCAAAACATTTTCCCTGCTGGGCGTTGGAAGGGCCTGAAGTGAATCTCCTTCAACTCTGCATGGCAGAGATGCACAAACAGCTCCTGTTTGCCACGAGCCCTCACAAAGAGCTGCTCTGACCACCTTGCTGTGGCACACCAAGGATGTGGTCAGGAACAAAACAACTGCTGGACTGAGAACCACGGGAGAAAAACAGATCAAAGGAGCAGGAAGAAAGCCAAGGTTGTTATTCATTAATACTGACAAAGCAGCTTTTAAAATTAAACCCTTAAAATAAACAAGCCAAACCTTTTCAAAACGAAACTTCAAGCTCATTGTGCCAGCGCAGGAACTCAGAAGGATGCACTCAGTACAAAGAGGCAGCCACAAGCCACTTGTGAGCTGGGAGATCCCCTCGGCACCCAGCTGGCACAGCCTGCCCTGCAGCACCCACTCCACTCTGGGAAAGGAGGGCAAGCACAGCTGCTCTCAGCTCAGGCTGAGTGGCACACGGTCATTTCCTCAAAACCAGGAGCCTCCATCACCCTCCTGTCTGCAGCACCGGCACAACAGCTCCCAACAAAAGGTGGGAATGGTCCCACGTTCCCACAACCTCACCCTCCTGTTCCAGAGGCAGCAAGGAGCAGAGCAGGAGCCCTAAGGTGGGAATGGTTTGCAGCAGCCCAAACCCTCTCAGTGCTCTGGGTGGGATTTTAGCATTACAGCTCTTTGTCCTGAAGAGAGAAATTGTTTCTCCTGCCTCCCTGCGTTAACACGCACTGACACCAAATCCTGAAGGATTGAAATCCCTGTCTGAGGCACCCCAGGAACTTCTGCACACCTTCCAACCCACACAGCTCCAAGAGCCCTTTCCCTTCCCTTCCAGAGGGAGTGGGAGCACTCAGACACTGAGGCAGCAGGGGCACAAATCTGCAGTGCAGGCTCCTGTGGTTAAAGAGCCAGAACTGGGAAGCAGAACTGGGGCTGCCACTTCCACTGTCACTGCAGTGCAGCCCCTCCTGGGCACTGAGGAAGACCATGGGCTGCACTCAGCCCTCTCCCCCTGAGCAGCTCAGGCACCAAATCCTGCAGGCACAAAGTGTTCTGGGATATTTGCAGTGTTCTGGGATGTTCCAACAGCCTCTGGGAGCTTCCCAGAATAGCTGCACCGCGCCACTGGGCTTCCTGAAATTGTTCTGGAATGGAGCCCCAGGGCCTGACATTGATTTCAGGCAGGTTTTTGTTAATTTTAGTTGCAGCCCTCGGTCCCACCTAGAGGCACAGCAGACAGAAACATGTCCTTGTTTTCCTGGGCAGCAGCAGCAGCCACACACACCCACCTTGGCTTCATAAAGGAGAGGTCCATGGAAACAAAGCACTCGCTCACCTGCAAGGGAAGCACAGAGACAGCTCAGAGGGCCATGCCCACAGCCCTGCCACCAGCAACAGCACAGGGCAGCCAGGGAGGGCTCCGAGGCAGGAACTGACTGCAGAAGCAAATTCTCTGTCCCACCAAAGGGATCAGAGCTGAGATCGTTTGGAGCCCAGAGCAGAGATCCCTGAGGATCCCAGGAGCAGCTGCACACACACAAAGCAATAGTGCTGGGGCCTTTGGCAGCAAACCCCACAAACCTGGCAGCAAACCCCACATCCCTGCCCCTCCCTGGCGTGCCCAGATCTCCTGCCCAGGCTCAGGTCGGGCTGCAGCCCCCACAGCAGTCTGGGCTCAGCCACAGGCAGGCAGAGCTGCCCCTCTGCGGGGTTTCTGATCCAGGGCACTCCCCTAACATCCCACCTCTGCACCTGAAGCTCCTGACACCTCAAAGGCACTGCCACCCGTGTCCTTTCCTGCAGGAAGGGCAACACGTGGCATTCCCAGCTTGGGGAGTCAGGAAGGGAAACCCCCATGCTGCTTCCCCACCCAGCCTGTGGGACAGGGCAGCAGGTTTGGAGCAGGATGAAATTGCCCTTTAGCCTGGCTTTATCTGCTCCTGGCCAAGCCTCCTTGCGTGGTTCCACTGCGGGATTTGCAGGGTACATAACACAGGATATCTGAGGGCACACATCTCCTGCTGGAGGCTGCAGTGCCTCCCGGTTTTGGGAAACGAGCTGCAGAGCTGTGAAATGCTTCCGTGTCTCAACAAAGAGAAAGGCTCAGAAGAGCTCTCCCGGAAGTGCCCAACTGATACATCACACAGGCAGTACTTTAATTTATTTAAAATGTCCCTACAGACGGGGCTGACAATCAGAGGTGACATTACCACCCTCATTGTCACAGTGCGGGTGGCAGACACACCCCTGCCTCAGGGCTGTGCAGTGTTTTCCAGGAGAGATGCCCACGGTTACTGAGGAACATTCATTTTTAAAAAGCACACGGATGATTTGCAGAAAGGGCTCTTTGTCTCCATGATAACCCAGGCTCCTGCTGCCTCAACAAGGGCTGTTCCCTGGATGCACACCCTGTTCCTTACACCAAAGTTCATCCCTTCCCACCCCTGCCAGGGCAGGGACACCTTCCACTGTCCCAGGTGCCCCAAGCCCATCCAACCTGGCCTGGGACATTCCAGGGATGGGGCATCCATCTTACGCTGCATTGCTATTGTTATTTATCCTACCTGCATTGCTCTCAACCGCAACCATTACATAAAAATCAAAATAAACACAGAATAAGCCTCCTGAAAAGCCCGATCATCCCCATTCACCCAAAGCCCGGTGCTCTGCGGCAGATGTGGATTCCAGCTGTGCTGGAATCCAGCGCTGCCTCCATGAATCCTCCTGCACGGGGCTCCCTTCCGGGGGACAATAAATAATCATTTTTCAAACGCATTACAACAAACCCCCCGACAAACCAGAGGGATTTCAGCAGCTTTAATGCCAAGGAACATCCGCGCAGGAAAACGAAGCATATTTAGAATAACGGGGTGGGAAGGGCCCGCGTGTTCCCGGGAGGAAAGAGAAGGGTCGGGAGCAGACAAAGCCTGCAGGAACCCATCTTTCCCACCTATCGGCACCTGCCGGGGGCTGAGCCGGGAGCGCGGGGAGCGGATCCCGAGCCCCGGGGCCGGAGCCGAGCCCCCCGCGCCGGGCGCGGCCCGCGATCCGCGGCAGCCCCGGCCCGCCCGCGCCGCGGCCCCGAGCCCTGCCCGCACTCACCCTCCTGGAACTTGGGCTTGGGGTCCTGCTTGGGCGCCATTTATAAGGGCCGGTCCCTCCTCCGGCCGCTCCCCGCGGGGCCCCGGCGCTGCCCGGCCCGGCCCCGCCGCTGCCCGGCCCGGCCCCGCCGCGCAGCCGCGGCTCGGGCATGCCGGGACATGGAGTCCGCGGGCTCCGCGCCCGCTCCGCCCCGCTCGGCGGGCGGGGGCGGCTTGGCTGCCGAGTGCTGGGTGCGTGCGCCGTGAGGAGTCACATTGGGAGGAAAAAAATGAATAAAATCCAAGAAAACACAGGAAAAAATTGATGCGCCCAACGTGGGGCTCGAACCCACGACCCTGGGATTAAGAGTCCCATGCTCTACCGACTGAGCTAGCCGGGCGCCACACGCGCCTCCTGGCCGCCACGGGTCTCGGCAGCGGTCCCGCCAGCCACGGGCGTTCCCCGCTCCGGCCGCCAGAGGGCGCTTGCCCCGGTTGATCTGCATATTTAACATTATCGTCTAATTAAACATCATCGCAAACGTCGGTTAATTATCCCCTAATTAAATCCCGGCAGGTACGGAGAGACCGGAGATGCAGCCATCCCGGGAAAGCTGTGGGCTGCCGGGGCCGCGAGCAGTGTCCGAGGAGGTAATTCATAGAGCCCAGTAATCCCGGGTGTTTGCTCCCGGTGCGCTTCAATCTGAGAGAAAATAAAAGGAGACAGCGACGGGCAGCCTCGGCTGAGGAAAGGAGGGACGTGGCGGCATCAGCCAAGCACCGCTTTTCATTTGTGATCGAAAATTCACTGAATTTTTGTGATTTTTTTAGTCGCGATCCTCACGACGGGGCAGACAAAGCAATGCGGCAAGGGAGCGCCAGAGGGCGCCATGGGCCACGCCGGCAAGGCGTAACATAAACCCCGCCCCTTAATGTGCATAACCCCGCCCCAATATACATAATCCTGCTCTAATAAGCATAACCCCGCCCATCTGGCATGCATTGATGCCTTGAGAGGCTGCCTGGAACCGAGCTGGGCAGAGTTAAAGAATAAAGTAGGGATTTATTAAAAGGTTTTCACAGGGCACACCTTGGGCAGTAAAAGAGCCTGGCTGTGGCTACACCCAAGTTGGACTCCAGGTCACAAGTTTTCACACTGTCATAAATTTTGGTCCATTTCCATATTGGAGTTAATTGTCCAATTGCAGCTCCAGGTTATGCAGTCCCACCCTCCCAGTTTGCTCTCCTCAGTTCAGTGTTATTTTACACTTTTTGGGCCTGAAGCTGCTGCAGTGTCCTTGTTCTGGGGCTGGAACAGGTTTGTTTTATCTGACTGAGCTGTGAGGAGAACTGCTAACACTTTATATGAAGTTCAGAGTTATAAACTAACGCAGTACAGAATCTGGAAAATGTGAAAGCCAAAATTAAAGGCCTCAGTTTAACCCCGCCCCCTGATGTACATAACCCCGCCCCTACTACGCATAACCCCGCCCTTCCGATGTGCATAACCACCCCTCTCTGATGTGCATAACCACTCCCCTAATGCTCACAACCACGCCCATCTGTTGTGTGTAGTCCCGCCCCCTGTTGTGCATAGCCCCGCCCCCTGTTGTGTGTAGCTCCGCCCTCTGTTGTGTGTAGCCCTGCCCTCTGTTGTGCATAGCCCCGCCCCCTGTTGTGTGTAGCCACGCCCTCTGTTGTGCATAGCCCCGCCCCCTGTTGTGTGTAGCCCCGCCCCCTGTTGTGCATAGCCCCGCCCCCTGTTGTGTGTAGCCCCGCCCTCTGTTGTGCATAGCCCCGCCCTCTGTTGTGTGTAGCCCCGCCCCCGCGGAGCCGCCCCGCCCCGCGGAGCCCCCAGCCCGCCTCAGCCATGGCGGCCCCGGCCGCGCTGCGCCCGCTCCTGCCCCTCGTCCCCGTGGCCGCCGCGCTGGCGCTGGCCGCGGGCGGGGGCACCGCGGGGACAGGTCCGGGGCGACGGCACGGCGGGGACCGCGGGAGGGCCGCGCGGGGGTCCGCGGGGATGGGGGCGCGATGTCCGTGGGGAGCGGGGGGACCGCGGGATGAGCGAGGGGCGTCCGCGGGATGAGCGGTTTGAGCGCGGGGTGTCCGCGGAATTGTCCGCGGGATGAGCGGGAATGAACGCCGGGATTGTCCGCGGGGATAAGCGCCGTGTGTCCGCGGGATTGTCCACGGGGATGAGCGGGATTAGCGCTGGGCGTCCGCGGGGATGAGCGGGATAAGCGCGGGGTGTCCGCGGGATGAACGGGAATGAGTGCTGGGTGTCCGCGGGATTGTCCGCAGGGATGATTACCGGGTGTCCGCGGGATTGTCCCGGGATGCTCGCGGTCCGGACAGCCCGGTGCCCCCGCCGCTGCCGCGCCCCGTGCCCGCGGGCCGGGCACGCTCGGAGCCCGCAGCCAGCCCCGGTCTCCTCCCGGCTCCCCGCGGCCGCCGAGCCCCGCCTGGGGAGGCTCCGGAGCGCTCCGTGCCCGCGGGTGCTTTGCCCCCAGAGACGGCGTGTCCCAACGCCGCCTCAAACCGGGGATTGCATTTTTCGGGAGTTTTTCCGTTGTTTGTTCCGTGGTTGTTTTATTGGCAGCCGCAGTTGAACCGCGGGAGTTACGCGGGGCCAGCCGGGGCAGGGCTCCGGAGCTGCCTGACCCCCCTCGCCCGGCCGGCCCCTAACCCTGACCTTAACGCTGTCCCCGGCGGACCCCAGCGCTGGCCCCGGGGGCAGCAGGGCTGTCCCTGCTGTCCTGCTGTCCCTGCTGTCCTGCTGTCCCTGCTGTCCTGCTGTCCCTGCCGTCCCCGCTCCGTCCCAGCGGGCACATCCCGCTGCTGTCCATCCAGCCGCCGCCGCGGGTGGAAAGGCTGTGAGAGGAAAGGTGAAGGACCCTGCAGGTAAGCGCTGCACCCCCTCTCCGCAGAGCCGCGCTCCGGCAGCGACATCGTCCATCCCATCAAGGTCGACGAGAGCGGAGCCTTCCTGTCCTACGACTTGTCGCACCGGGCCCTCCACCGGAGGTCTCCTGCCTCCAGGAGCCAGCTCCCCGCCTTCTACGAGCTGCAGTACAGGGGGCAAGCCCTGAAATTCAACCTGAGCCTCAACAGGCACCTGCTGGCCCCGGGCTTTGTCAGCGAGCGGCGTTTCGGGGGCATCGCGGGCGCCAAGATCCAGCCGCGCTCCCACAACCCGTGCCACATGATCGGGGAGGTGCGGGGCCCGCGGCAGGCGGGGCTGGCTGCCCTCAGCACCTGCGACGGCCTGGTGAGTACAGCCCCGCTCCGCGGCAGCCCTGGGCCGGAAGGGAACGGCAGGAGCTCGGCGGAACCCTTGTTTCTGCCAAAAGTGACATCAAAACTCCCAGCAGCAGAGTCAGCATCTCGTCATGCACGTCTGGTACACCATGGATGGGCTGACTGTGAATTTCCCATGGATTGCAGTGGTTTGGGAGCTCTCCGGGGCTGGCTTTACTTGTTTGTGTCCAAATTCCCAAAAGCAGCAATTCCCTGCCTTGTGCTGCATGAGTGGGATTGTGAGGCGCACGCCTGGGAGCGAGGGGCTGGGAGCTGCAGGTGTGATAGCACAGCTCCTGGGCAGCAAAGCTGTTTCCTCAACTCTCCACTGTTTGTATTTCCTGTATTTCCTCCAGTGACCTGGAGGAGTTTGGGGGAAAGGGCTTAGAGCCTCCTGTGTGTTTGCAGAAATGTCCCATGTACCTGGTAGGGCAGTGCTCATGTTCATATCATTCACTTTGGAGGGAGCTTAACTCCGTCAGATCCTCCACAGCTTCCCACTGCCAGAGGGCAGGAGTGAATGGGACACTGGGGAGAATCCTTCCCTGGGAGGGTGGGCAGGGGCTGGGAGGGAATTCCCAGAGCAGCTGGGGCTGCCCCTGGATCCCTGGCAGTGCCCAAGGCCAGGCTGGGCAGGGCTTGGAGCAGCCTGGGACAGTGGGAGGTGTCCCTGCCATGGCAGGGGTGGCACTGGATGGGATTTGAGGTCCCTTCCCACCCCAACCATTCCAAGGTCCTTTGATTCACTGATTCCTTGATTCCCCAGCCATTCCAAGGCCCCTTGATTCCGTTGATTCCTTGATTCCCCAACCATTCCAAGGTCCCTTGATTCTGTTGATTCCTTGATTCCCCAGCCATTCCAAGGTCCCATGGTCACTGCCAGTGCCAGGTTGCACCTGGGCTGCAGGCGGTGGCCTCACGGTGGCACTTGGTGTCTCCCTGGCAGAAAGGAGTGTTTCAGCTCATGGACCAGGACTATTTCATCGAGCCCGTGTCCAGCAGCCCCCGGGAGGAGGGAGCAGCCCAGCCCCACAGGATCTACAAGCGCCAGGTGCCCGAGGCCAGGGCCGAGCAGGGCAGGAGCCCCCCGGCCCCGCGGGAGCCCTGCGGCGTGCCAGGTACTGTCCCTTCCTCCGTGTCACCGGTGGGGCTGCACCCCTCTGGGCTCGTCTGCTGCCCCCAGGGGGAATGTGGAGACAGAGCTTTTGCCTTCATTTCCACCAAAACTTTGGTTGTGACCTGCCGGGGCATTGGACTTTAGGAGTGGAACTCTGTGGCTGCCCCAGGAGTTCCCGCTGTGGACAGAGGGCTGTGGGTCCCTCCTTGTGCACTGCAGATGGATAAACTCCCAAATCCAACATTTCAAGTGCTGAGGAATTCAGTGCATTCCCAGAGGCTCATGGGCACTTTGCTCCCTGATGAAGCTGCAGTGCATTTTGTGCTGCACATTTTCTGGAGCTCTCTGCTTCCACAAACCAGGGTTTGCTTTTGTAACAGGGTTATCTTCAGGCATTCCTCTGATAATGTAAATTAATTATTTAATCTGTGGTAATGATCTTAATGGCTTCTTTTAGGCTTTGAAGTCTGTTCTTGACTCAAGTCCATTCTGGACTTTGAAGTCTATTATTGACCATTAATTTCTCTGGGTGTACCATGGCCTGTGTGTAATTCACGTGGCTCTCTGTAATCAGCACCAGTGGGGTGGATGTGCTGGAGGGGAATCCCAAAGGAGTCCCAGAGTCTGTAGGGTTTTAGTGACTGCCATCCTCTCGCTGAGCTCTGCTGTGTTGCTCTTTGCTGTGCCCACGACAGGCAGGTGCTGCTGGTGTTGTTTAACTCCTGTCAGTGCCCAGGGCTGCCCTGTGCTCACTGGGTGATGTTGGACAGGGATCATGCCAAGGGAAATGCCCAAGGATGCCCTGATGCTCACTGGGTGATGTTGGGCAGGGATCATGCCAAGGGAAATGCCCAAGGATGCCCTGATGCTCGCTGGGTGGTGTTGGGCAGGGATCATGCCAAGGGAAATGCCCAAGGATGCCCTGATGCTCGCTGGGTGGTGTTGGGCAGGGATCATGCCAAGGGAAATGCCCAAGGATGCCCTGTGCTCACTGGGTGGTGTTGGGCAGGGATCATGCCAAGGGAAATGCCCAAGGATGCCCTGATGCTCGCTGGGTGGTGTTGGGCAGGGATCATGCCAAGGGAAATGCCCAAGGATGCCCTGATGCTCGCTGGGTGGTGTTGGGCAGGGATCATGCCAAGGGGAAATGCCCCCAGCCCTGCAGCAGCCGCACATCTCAGCTGGGAGCTCAGCACTAAGGACACAATGGGAAGGAGCTCCAAGGAAGCTGCTGCGATTCAAGTGTCCCAGTGGCGTTAGCAGTTCATCAGGAGGTGCAGATAGCTGGCATTTCTCAGCTCAGCTGGGGCTGAAACGCCCTTTCACAGCACGCTGCTGCTCAGCGCAGCCCGGGAAGTGTAGGAGTCCATTGTTAGGGGAGCCACGAAAGCGATTCCCACTGTGTGGGATGAGGTTTGCAAAGCCTTCACCCGGCTCGGGCTGACCCTGACCTTGCTCTCGGAGCCGTGTCACAGGAAAAGTCCCCGCTGCACAATTCCCAGGGGCTGGTGTGCGTGAGGAGCCGAGCTCTGCCCGCCTCCGCATCCCGGCCAGCATTCCCCTTGTTCCCCCTTGGGAAGGAGCAGAGCTGCTCTCCTCTCCTCTCCTCTCCTCTCCTCTCCTCTCCTCTCCTCTCCTCTCCTCTCCTCTCCCTTCTCTCAGGTTGTTTCTCAAGCACCTCTGCAGTGTTTTCTGTAAATTCCTGTGTCATTATAAACCCCGACTCTGCTTTGGGAGGCTCCCCGTTCCTTGTGGAATATTGCAAATCTTGTTCTGGTCAAAGAAATTCCTTCAAATTCAAATGCTCTGTTTTTGGGGTTTTTTGTTTTTTGTGTCCTGCTCATGTGCAGCAGGCTGAGCTCAGAGTCCTTTGGAACAGAGCACAGCAAAATGCACAGGAGTTATTGAGTTATGGTTCACTCTGCTTTGCGAGGCTCCCTGTTTCTTGTGGAATATTGCAAATCTTGTTCTAGTCAAAGAAATTCCTTCAAATGCTCTGTTTATTTTGGTTTTTGTGTCCTGCTCGTGTGCAGCAGGCTGAGCTCAAGAATCCTTTGGAACAGAGCACAGCAAAATGCACAGGAGTTATTGAGTTATGGCTCTAAGTGTGGAGCCTTCTCCACATCAAAGGTGACTCCTTTGAATTAAAAAAGAAGATATTAAAGTTGCAGGCACTTGATCAAGGAAAAAAAATAATTTCCCCTTCAATCGCTCAGAGTCTCAGGAGAGCCTGGAATGGTCTGAGAGGCGCAGGGAGAGGTGGGAGCAGAAGCAGCACAGGAGGAGGAGGAGGAGGATCAAGCAGCGCTCCATCAGCAGGGAGAAGTGGGTGGAGACGCTGGTGGTGGCAGACACCAAGATGGTGGAGTTCCACGGCAGTGCCAACATCGAGAAGTACGTGCTGACCGTCATGAACATGGTGAGTGCATGACACAAGCAGAGAAGGAGGTGGCTCAGTCTGTCCCTCTGCTGCTGCTGGGTGGCACCTCTTGGCATTCCAGAGGAAAGCTTTGGTTGATGCCAGGAAAGGGTGGGATGGGGCAGAGGAGCTCACGTTACATCCCTGGGTTTCTGGGGCTGCTGAAGGACCCAGAAAGCACCAAATCCTTTGGGATGTTAAACACATCCAATAGGAGTGAGAGCAGAGGGGTCCCCCAGGTGTTTCTGGCTGGGTTCCAGTGCCTGCACAGATCCCATGGAGTGTAAATGGATTTCATGGCAGCTCCAGCCCCGTGTCTGCTCTTGCCTCCCATGGGGGAATTCCTGAGACGCTGTCAGCAGGAGCTGCCGAGCTGGCGGTGGCAGGGGCAGCGTGCTGGCTGCTCTGTGTCCCCAGCCGTGTCCCCTGGTGTCCCACTGCAGGTGGCAGGGCTGTTCCACCACGCCAGCATCGGGAACCCCATCAACGTCGCCATAGTGCGGCTGATCCTGCTGGAGCACGAGGAGGTGAGCCCAAGCTGGGCTGGGCTGGGCTGGGCTGGAGACCCCCAGGGTTTGCCTCCCTCCTGGGCTGTGCCCCTGGCCTGGCCCCGTGTGTGTGTGGGAGAAATCCAGGTTCCCACCTTTGCCTCCTCCTCATGGCTGGTGGGGCCAGGGATGGGGTGGGCAGAGGAGCTGCAGGGCCTGGTTTGGGCTGGTTTATGGTGTCACACACAGCGTCACCGTGCTGGCAGAGGGCTCTGGGGCACTGGTGGCCATGTCCAAGCTGCTGTGGTGGCTCTGGGGGGCCTGAGGCCACTCAGGGTCTCCACAGCCATGTCCTTCTCTGCCACCCAACACTCGGGGTTTTCCTGCTGTGGTTCTTAACCCCTATTACTGGATGATTTAATGTTTTGGTTGAATCACAGATGAAAAGAAAGCAGGAAAAGGGCTGTCTTCCCACCCAGCCTACAAGCTATAAACATGGAGCAATTCCATCTGGATGGCAGTCACTCCCAATCCCCCTCTGATGTGCCTGGGCTTGGACCCCTCCCCTCCCCATCCCAAAACCCAAACAGCTCCAGCAGATCTCCCTTTTTGTCGGCAGGAGGACCTGAAGATCTCCCACCACGCAGACAACACCTTGAAAAGCTTCTGCAAGTGGCAGAAGAGCATCAACGTGAAGGGAGACTCGCACCCCCTGCACCACGACGTGGCCGTGCTGCTCACCAGGTGTGGAGCCACACCCAGGGCTGGGGCAGCCAAAATCTCACCTGGCTGCAGGTGGGACAGCCAGGGAACGTCTCCTGGCAGCTCTTGGAGTCTCACTCTCCCTGCCTGGACACCTGCACGTAAGATCTGTGATGTGAAATCTGGGGACATTTCCTGGTGGCTGGAGCTGCTGTGGAAGGTGGCCCTGCCCATGGCAGGGGTTGGATTTAGATGATCTTTAGGATCCTTTCCAACCCAAAGCGTTCCACGAGTCTGTGATTCCATGGACTGGTCCAGATCTCAGGTTTAAACCTGGACACGGCTCCCAGCTGGGGTTTTCACCAAACCAGGTTTTCACCGTGGCCCCGTTGCCAAGCCCCAGAAGGGCTGGATCCAGGAGCTGTACATGGGATTAACTCTCCTTTTTCCCTCAGAGGCTGGGCTTGGCAGAGGAGCCCCTGGGAAGCCCCTGGCCTCCCACGGAGCTGGCAGGAATTCCTGCCTCTGGCCAAGTTTGTGTACCTTGCAGTCAGAGCCTGCTTTGAGGCTTTCAGGCTGCCTGAGCTGGCTGCTGTGGTGCTTTGGGTGATGATTCACAGCCCACAGCAGCTCTGTCTTCCCTGGGAGGTTGCTTTGCAGCAGAAATGAGGCACTTCAGGCCTTGTACTTCAGTGGGGCTGTTCTTCCTGGGTGGCTGGAGCTGCCCTGGAAAACCACGGCACCTCTGGGATGTGCTTCCCCAAAGCATTGTTTGATTATCCCCAGCATCAGCTTTATTTATACAAGGGAATAAATGCAGCCAGGCTGGCCAGCAGCTTCCATTAATCAGGCTTAATGGTGAGCTGGGGATACTGGGAGAGGAAAGGGGGAAGGAAAGGTCACAAATGTTTCCCCTGTGGAAGGAAGCTGGATGTCCTGCTCTCGCTCCTGTTTGGCCGCTGTCCGTGTGCCGGGTCCTGCCGCCTTCCAACGCCCTCTGTGCTCTCTGTCTGTCTGTCTGTCTGTCCGTGTGTCCCCTCGGCCAAGGAAGGACATCTGTGCTGCCATGAACAGGCCCTGTGAGACCCTGGGGCTGTCCCACGTGGCCGGGATGTGCCAGCCCCACCGGAGCTGCAACATCAACGAGGACACGGGGCTGCCGCTGGCCTTCACCGTGGCCCACGAGCTGGGACACAGGTACCACCCTCCTCCTCCTCCTCCTCCTCCTCCTGTTCTCTGCGTGCACCCTGGGGCTGGAGGGGGCACGGGGGAAGGTGGGAGAGGGTTCCCAGGTGGTTCCTCACGGGTGCAAACACTCCCTTGCTCCCTGAGGGTTTCATTCCAGAGTTAAGGTTTGGGTTGTCCCACGTTTAATGAGAACACATAATCCAAGGCAACCTGGAGAAATTGCACCTGTGTATTGTCCTGGGGTGGTGTGGGAAGGTTCTGGAGCAGAGGTTGCCCATTGAGAGGTTATAAAGTAGGATCTGTCTGTAATATCAGTGACAGAATTTCGCTTGTCCTGGTTTCAGTTAAGTTTGACAGGATCACTTGAACATTGCAGTTTCAGTTAGACATAGACATCTAACTGAAGACACAGACATTCCCAGTAAACATCTACATGTGGGAAAGCACCCACCAGCGAGATCTTGTTGAATATCCCTGAGTTTCAGCGGGAAAGCTGCAGTGAGAGCAGGGACAGAGCTCAGGCTGTCAGTGCACATCCCCAGGGCAGCCCCTGCTCCGGGGCCGGGAGCGGCGGCGGCGGTGCCTGTGGTGCTCGTGGCTCACCTCCCCTCCGTGGGCTGTGTCTTACACAGTTTTGGGATTCAGCATGATGGAAGCAGCAATGACTGTGAGCCAGTTGGGAAAAGACCTTTCATCATGTCTCCACAGCTCCTGTATGACACGTCCCCACTCACCTGGTCCCGCTGCAGCCGCGAGTACATCACACGCTTCCTCGAGTGAGTGCCTCCTCCTCTTCCTCCTCATCATGGGGCTGGGGGTCGGGGCCCAGGCACGGGGGTGCTCTTATCTCTGAGATATCTCTCTAAGAGAGCTGGGGGTCTTTGCCCAGAGCAGCTGTGGCTGCCCCATCCCTGGGAGTGTCCAAGGCCTGGGGTAGTGAGAGGTGTTCCTGCCCATGGCAGGGGTGGGATGTGATGGGCTTTGAGGTCCCTTCCCACCAAACCATTCCACGATTCCATGGATCCTCCCTGGGTTGCCTCACTCTGTGCTGTGAAGGGGGCTCAGGGGCTGTGGCTGCACAGATAAAACCAGAGTGTTTTCCCTCAGTGCTCACTGCAGCTTCTGCAGAGTCTCTTCCATTCTCTCTGCCTGTCATGGGCAAACCAGATCCAGCCAAATTCTTCCCCGCCTTTGTTTATTTTTAGCACCCGTGGCTGATTTTCCAGCCTGTTGTTAGGAAGTTCCGAGGAGCCCAGCCCGAGTTTGGTTTGTCAGCCAGTGGTTTGCACTGGAGGAACATTTCCCCCGTGCTGCAGGAAGGTTTGAGGAGCAGCGAGGGCAGAGCTGGGCCAGGGAGGCTGCTGGGGCCAGGCCCCGCTCCCAGATCCCAGCCTGGGCCGTGTGGGTTGGCCCCGTGCAGGGAATTAGTGCTGATTTATGGCTTTCTGAGGAATGGAGCTCTCCCGCTTCCGCAGCGCTCTTGGCCCTCTGCTTGTAACCTTCACTTGGGCAGGAAGAGTTTCCTGCCTGTGCTGACCCCGGGCTGCTGCTGGTGGGGAGGCAGAGCAGCTGGAGGCTCCTCTGCCGGGGTTTGGTGTCTCTGCTCCCCAAAGGAGCAGCTCTTCCTTGGGCTGTCTGTCACCGGCCGTGACACCCGGGCACAGACAGTGTTGTAAGGCATGCTGGCAGGAGGACGGCAGGGAGGGAGCCAGGAAACCCGACCCTGCCGACCTGGGGTTGCTGGGTGTGCTTGGAACAGACCTCATGTTCGGGAAAACCACGCTCTTGCATGGTGATGATTATTATTTTACACAAGATCATTGTTATTTCACAAGCGCTGCCGAATGTGGGAGCGTCTGAAAGTGATTGTGGCAGCAGCAGGGCCCCAGCGCTGCAGTCAGTGCTGCTGCAGCTGGGGCTTCACTCAGGGTCTGCCTGGGCGTCAGGGGGCACTGGGAGGGTGCTGTCCCTGTTGTGGCAGCTGTCCCCAAGGAGGGTGTCCCCTCTCTCAGGCCACTGTAGGGTGCTGGCACAGCGTGGCTGCTGATGCTCAGTGCTGGAGGGACCCTTCAGTCTTTGCTCTACAGCAGAACCAGATTTTCAGCCTCTTTCCTCAGTGCTGGAGCTCTTCTTCCATCATCCTCCTCCTCCCAGGGCCTGCTGCCCTTGCCCTGCCCTTGCCACCCTGTGCCAGCCCCTGCAGCCCCGTGGCTGTGCTGCTGATTCTTCCCGAGCTCCAAGCTTTGCCTTTGTTTTTGTTGAATTCTGTCCTGGCTTCTTTGGACCCTTCCTCCAGTTCTCTGGGAGCTTTTGGAATTTTAATCCTGCTCTCAGATGTATCTGCAGATCCTGTCAGGCTGCTCACAGATGGGGATTTAATCATTGCTCCATCCACTCCATCCTCCAGCTCGTTAAGGAGCGGGCTGGAACAGGCAGAGCAGTGCAGGCCCTGCATCTTTCCCTGTGCACTGGGATTTACTGCACACCCCTGGAAGCCAGAGGGAAACTCAGGCCAATTTTTCCCTGCTTGGAGATGTGTTTTGGCCAACTGAACAGGCCAGGAGAATGACTGTAAAATATTTAACAAAGCAATAGATTCTGGACAAGCTGAGGCAGATCCCAGAGACCCCAGACTGGACAGAGACCCCTCTGTGAGCGGGGGCAGGGCAGGGGGTGCCCCAAGAAGGCCGGAGGAACAGGAGGAGGCTGGGGACAGTGAAGGGGGGACCTGGGGAACCCAAACAGGCACAGGGTGAAGGGTCCAGAGCAGCACAAGTGTCACACCTGGGGCTCATCCAGGATGGAGTGCTTGAGCCTGGACTTTTTCCAGTAAGGACACCTTCTGTGTTTGGAGAAAACACTCCAAGTGTACAGAATGGGATGGGCTTTAAGGCTCCTTCCAACCCAAACCATGGCAGGATTTTGGGATTCTGTGGAACTACGTGGGAGGTGCCCTGCAGTGTGTGCCTGGCACAGGCTGGCCAACCCATGCCCCATCCATCCCAGCTCAGCCCCACATCACCCACAGGGATGGGATCCTGCCCTTCCCACTGGGCTGGCAGCAGCAGGCTGCTCCTGCTCTTGGGAGCTTGGAAATGGAGATTTTTGAGCCCCTGGGCTGCTGAAAACAACCCCTTTCCATAGGGAAATGTAGGTGTATTTCAGTGAGGACATGCAGGGGAGTTAAGGGGCTGTCTCCAGCCCAGGGAGCTGTGTGCAGGTGTCCCGTGTGGAACTCGGTGCTGGGATGGGAAAGAGAGGAGGGTGCTGGTTCTGCTGGGCATCACCCGTGGCACTGCCAGCGCCCCAGAGCAGCAGCTCTCTGCTCCCAGCCCTGTTTCCATGCTGCTGCTTTGGCTCAAAAAGGAACCTCACTGCACGTGAATTCCCAACAACCCCGAGTAACCCGATCCCGCCGCAGCCTTGCCAGAGCCCCGGCCTTGCTGGAAACGAGTTTGTTGAAATAACGCCGCGGGCTGAGCGGGACAATCCCGGTGCGTTTGGAGGTGTCAGCAGCAGCTGGAGCAGGGCAGGCACCTCTGCCCCAGAGCTGTGCTGTCCAGCCTGGTCTGAGCAGGGCAGGGGCACGTCCAGCTGCTCATCATCTCCTTTATTCACCTCCTTTATTCATCTCTTTTATTAATCTCCTTTATTCATCTCCTTTATTCATCTCCTTTATTCCTGTTAGCAGCGTCTGCAGGGACACTTCTGGCTGTTGACATAAATGTCACTGGGACATTTGTGGCTGTTGCCCCTTCTGTCTTTGTCCCTTCACCTTCCCCATGTCCTGCCATGCTGGGGGGACATGGGGCTGTCACTCTGGGGGTCTCCCACCCCAATGAGGTACCCAGAGGTGCCCATCCACCCCGGGGCAGCCCCAGGGGCCGCAGAGCTGGGGCTGTGTCACTGGGAAATGCTGGTTGCTCATCCAGGGCATTGACCAGTGCCCGTCCCCTGATGGTGGTGTGGGACACTGGGTGACACTGCTGTGGGACACTGGGTGACGCTGCTATAGGACACCAGGTGACACTGCTGTGGCCTCTCTTGCAGCCGGGGCTGGGGGCTGTGCCTCGATGACCCCCCGGCCCGGGAGCTGCTGGACTTTCCCCTGGTGCCCCCGGGTGTCCTGTACGACGTGGGCCACCAGTGCCGCCTGCAGTACGGCCCCTACTCCACCTTCTGCGACGACATGGACGTAAGGGGGGCTGGTGGGACATGGGGGGCTCAGGGGGCTTGGCTGGGGCCGTGCCCACCCTGCCCCAGGGATGGATGTGATCTGTACCCGAGGGATGCATCTGTGTCCGAGGGAGGGATCTGATCTGTGCCCATGGGATGGATCTGTGCCCAAGGGAGGGCTCTGTGCCAGGCAGGAACCTGTCCCTCTCTCCCCACAGAGTGTCTGCAGCACGCTGTGGTGCACGGTGGGGAACACGTGTCACTCCAAGCTGGACGCAGCTGTGGATGGCACAGCCTGCGGGGAGAGCAAGGTAACGGTGGGGACACCCTTCTATGGCCTTGGGGAGCCCTGCTCCTGCACACACAGGGCTCTGCAGGGTCACTGCAGGGTGGGCTCATGCTGCACACACAGGGCTCTGCAGGGTCACTGCAGGGTGGGCTCATGCTGCACACACAGGGCTCTGCAGGGTCATACACAGGGCTCTGCAGGGTCACTGCAGGATGGGCTCATCCCATGCCCCTGCTCTGCCCAAACACCCGCTGCCCCAGCAGGGGCTGCCCTCAGGGAAGGTGACTCACTTGGGGTCACCTGAATCACCTGGGAAGGTGAAACCCACAGTTGATGACCGCGGCAGGAGAGCACAAGGCTGGTTCTGCTGCCATGGTGGATGCTCCTCCCTGGGATCTCTCCCACTGCTGGGGAGCCCCTCTGGGCTGACACTGGGCTGTGAATCCCTTTGCTTAGGGGTCTCCATGGAGCTTTGGGTTTGTTTTCTCCCTCAAACCCTCACACAGCCCAACACCTCTGGGTTTCCCACGGCTTGAGGAGCTGCAGGCTCTGGCTGAGCCCGGCTGAGCCCAGGCACCCCCGTGCAAGCAAAGCAGGGATTTCCAGGGCCCAGTCTGTGTGCTGGGCTCAGTGCTGCCCACCCTGACCCCGTGCTCCGCTCCTGTCCCGCAGTGGTGCTTCAACGGCGAGTGTGTTCCCGTGGGCTTCCGGCCCGAGCCCATCGACGGCGGCTGGAGCTCCTGGAGCGCCTGGGCCTCCTGTTCGCGCAGCTGTGGGGCAGGAGTGCAGAGCGCTGAGAGGCACTGCAGCCACCCCACGTAAGCCAGCCCCACACCCGGGACAGCGGTCAGGGTCACAGAGTGCCAGGGTGGTTTGGGCGGGAGGGACTGGTTCCATCCCCTGCCCGGAGTGCTGGGGTGGTTCTGGTTCCATCCCCTGCCCGGAGTGCTGGGGTGGTTCTGGTTCCATCCCCTGCCTGGAGTGCTGTGGTGGTTCTGGTTCCATCCCCTGCCTGGAGTGCTGGGGTGGTTCTGGTTCCATCCCCTGCCCCAGAGTGCTGGGGTGGTTCTGGTTCCATCCCCTGCCCGGAGTGCTGGGGTGGTTCTGGTTCCATCCCCTGCCCCAGAGTGCTGCGGTGGTTCTGGTTCCATCCCCTGCCCCAGAGTGCTGGGGTGGTTCTGGTTCCATCCCCTGCCCGGAGTGCTGGGGTGGTTCTGCTTCCATCCCCTGCCCGGAGTGCTGGGGTGGTTCTGGTTCCATCCCCTGCCCGGAGTGCTGGGGTGGTTCTGGTTCCATCCCCTGCCCCAGAGTGCTGGGGTGGTTCTGGTTCCATCCCCTGCCCGGAGTGCTGGGGTGGTTCTGGTTCCATCCCCTGCCCCAGAGTGCTGGGGTGGTTCTGGTTCCATCCCCTGCCCCAGAGTGCTGGGGTGGTTCTGGTTCCATCCCCTGCCTGGAGTGCTGCGGTGGTTCTGGTTCCATCCCCTGCCTGGAGTGCTGCGGTGGTTTGCCTGGGAGGGATTGGTTCCATCCCCTGCCCCAGAGTGCTGGGGTGGTTCTGGTTCCATCCCCTGCCCCAGAGTGCTGTGGTGGTTCTGGTTCCATCCCCTGCCCCAGAGTGCTGGGGTGGTTCTGGTTCCATCCCCTGCCCGGAGTGCTGGGGTGGTTCTGGTTTCATCCCCTGCCCCAGAGTGCTGGGGTGGTTCTGGTTCCATCCCCTGCCTGGAGTGCTGCGGTGGTTCTGGTTCCATCCCCTGCCCCAGAGTGCTGCGGTGGTTCTGGTTCCATCCCCTGCCCCAGAGTGCTGGGGTGGTTCTGGTTCCATCCCCTGCCCCAGAGTGCTGGGGTGGTTCTGGTTCCATCCCCTGCCCCAGAGTGCTGGGGTGGTTCTGGTTCCATCCCCTGCCCCAGAGTGCTGGGGTGGTTCTGGTTCCATCCCCTGCCCCAGAGTGCTGGGGTGGTTCTGGTTCCATCCCCTGCCTGGAGTGCTGCGGTGGTTTGCCTGGGAGGGACTGGTTCCATCCCCTGCCCCAGAGTGCTGGGGTGGTTCTGGTTCCATCCCCTGCCTGGAGTGCTGCGGTGGTTTGCCTGGGAGGGATTGGTTCCATCCCCTGCCCCAGAGTGCTGCACTGTGACCCAAACAAAGGGCAGAGGCTCCGCGCTCAGAGATGTGAAACATATCCACAGTGTCCTTCAGTGACAGAACAGCAACCCAGGCATTCTTGGAGCCTGATTCAGAGTTGTTTTGAAAAATCCTGCTGCAGTTTATCACCCTGCTGCATTCCATCAGCCAGTGCTGGCTGGAAGTGCCCGGGCACTGCTGGAGGAGCTGCCATCTCCATCCTGGCATTTCTGCTGACCCATCTGCTCCCCACATGTCCCCTTGGTCACCAAACCCCTGCTGCACAGATTCAGCCAAAACCCCCTGGTGTCAGAGCAGCCTGGGGTGGGGAGGAAAGGGGCTTTTAGTGATGTTCCATGGGAGTTGCTTTTCCATGGCATGGGGAGCTCTGGCAGACCCAGAGTGAGCTCCTGTCCCTCCCAGCCATGTTCTGCCCATCCTCTTCCTCGGGTGAGTTTGGTATGTGCTGCTGGGCTCTTGAGGGAAGTGCTCTGTCGTCTCGGTCCTGGGTCAGGACCTGGATTTGTGTTTGACATAAACGCTGTGGCAGAGGTGCTGTGGTGGTTTGTGGAGTGTTCAAACACAGCTGTGGACAGGCAGGAGAGCAAACACTGGGAATTTCCCGGGCAGTTGTTTGCTTTGGCCACTGGAGGTAAATCTACAGCTTTGCCCTTGGGATGAGGTGAGAAAATGTGTGCTGGGCATCCCCCCCTCCCACAGCCATTCCTCAGGGCAGAGCGTGTAAACACAGCCCTAAAATAATCATTAGCTTCATTCTCTTCAGCACAGTGTGCCCAGGAGAAGGAATTCTCATGGGGTCCCTGGGACATGGGATGTGGACAGTGGTGTGACTGAAGGACAAGGCAGTGTGGCAGGAGATGGTGGCTGTGTTGTGAGGGTGTGCTGGCATCTGAGGAAAGCACTGCTGTGCTTCTCGAGTCTCTCTTGCTTTAAAAAGCCCCCTGTCAGCTTTGCCATTCCCTGGGGCAGCAGAGGAGCAGAGCCAGGAGGATTCCCTGGGCGGGATGGAGAGCAGCTCCTCCAGAGCAGCTGCAGGATGGGCGCCAGGATGGAGGGGCTTGGAGCCGCCTGCTCTGTGGAAGGTGGATGGAACACCCATGGCAGGGGGTGGGACAGGGACGGGCTCTGAGGTCCCTGCTGACCCAAACCATTCACAGCTCTGTGACTCTGAGGTCCCTTCCGACCCAAACCGTTCACAGCTCTGTGACTCTGAGGCCTGTGCCCTGCCAGCCCTGGTGACTGTGTTTGCCTCCCCCAGGCCCAAGTACGGGGGCCGGTACTGCCTGGGCGAGCGCAAGCGGTTCCGGATCTGCAACGTGCGGCGCTGCCCCCCGGACGGGCCCTCCTTCCGCCAGGTGCAGTGCAGCCAGTTCAACCCCATGCTCTACAAGGGCAAGCTCTACAAGTGGACACCGGTGCCCAACAACAGTGAGTGCAGGGCAGACGCCTCAAACCTGGAGCTGCGGTTTGTGTCCCTGCCTTGCCTCGCAGCCCACCCGTGCTGTGTTTTGTATTTTACGCCGCCCTGGGCTTGCGGGGCGGGTTGTGCTTTCGGCTCTGCGGTGCCGGGGCTGAGCGTGTGCCTGTTCCCCAGTGAACCCCTGCGAGCTGCACTGCCGGCCCGAGCACGAGTACTTTGCGGAGAAGCTGCGGGACGCCGTGGTGGACGGCACGCCCTGCTACGACGGCGACGCCAGCCGCGACGTCTGCATCAACGGCATCTGCAAGGTGGGCCGGCACCCGGGACACCCGGGCCTGGAGGGCACCCCCGGGGCAGCACCCAGCCTTGGGCACTCAGCATCCCCTCCCTCTGGTGCTGAGCTCGCTCCTTGTGCCGTTCCCCCTTGGAGAGCGTTCCTGGTTCCTGTGGAGTGAGTGCTACCGGCTGTGTCAGCCTCTGTGCTGGCCTCAGGGGGCCAGGGCACCACCCAGGCCAGGATGGGTGCAACCTGGAGCAACCTTGGAGCACCCTGGTCTCAGGGAAGGTGTCCCTGTCCATGGCAGGGGGCTGGAACTGGATTGTCTTTAATGTCCCTTCCACCCCAAGGCATCCCAGGGTGCTGTGAATCCAAGGTTCCTTCCAACCTAGGCTATCCCAGGCTGCTGTGAATCCAAGGTTCCTTCCCACCCAGGCCATGCCAGGGTGCTGTGAATCCCCTGGGGACGATGCAGCCGGGGCTGGGAGGGCCTGGGGGGTGCTGGTGTGTGTGGGGCTGACAGGCTGCCTTGCAGAACGTGGGCTGTGACTATGAGATTGACTCTCACGCCGTGGAGGATCGCTGCGGGGTGTGCCACGGGGACGGCTCCACCTGCCACACCGTGCACAAGACGTTCGAGGACAGCGAGGGGCTGGGTAAGGGCACCCACTGCTGTCCCCAGAGCACCCCGTGCTGCTCTGGCACAGCTGGGCTGCTGCTGCTCCTTTGGAACAGGAGTTTAATTCCAGCTTGTTGATTTTTGGGGATAAGGCAGCAGGGAACTCAGGTGGGGTTTGGTGCCCACTGGTGCCTTACAGAGGTGTAAGGATCGGCACAGTGCTGGCACCCGGGGGCACAGCACCCACCCAAGGACAAAAATCATCCCAGACACCTCTGACTCCCCCAAGCCCAACGCTTGGTTCCATTCCCAGGCTACGTGGACATTGGCATTATCCCCGTGGGAGCCCGGGAGATCCGGATTGAGGAGGTGGCAGAAGCCGGGAATTTCCTGGCGCTGCGGAGCGAGGACCCCGAGAAGTATTTCCTGAATGGAGGCTGGACCATCCAGTGGAACGGGGACTACAGGGTGGCAGGGACCACCTTCACCTACAAGAGGACAGGCAACTGGGAGAACCTCACCTCTCCGGGGCCCACCGTGGAGCCCGTGTGGATCCAGGTAGGATGGATCCAGGTAGGATGGATCCAGGTAGGGTGGATCCTGCCGTGGTCCCTCACAGCCCTCCCTGCATGCAGGGGATGGATCCTGCCCTCCTCGGGATGTGTTTCTCTGGGAGCCAGCACTGGGGCAGCCAGGCACACGCTGCCAGCCCGGGGATGTTTCCAGCCCACACCACTTGGATCTGAGCCTCGTCCCCTTTGCAGCATTCTGCAGAATATTTGCACGGGAGAGGGAGTGTGAGGAGAAGGAGCCGTTTCCTGAGGCCTTTCCCATATCTTATCACCAGCAGGGGAAGAGCCCCCGGTGCTTCTGGCTGGGCTGGACAGGAGGGAGGGAGGGAGCTGCCAGCCCACGCAGAGCTGTGGGAGTCACTGTCCTTGTGACCGTGAGGCCAAGCCTTCCTCTGCAGAAACCAGTGGGAATGATCCCACACGTGATGGCACAGCTGGCACCAGGCTGGCATCCCTCGTGGTGCAGGGGTGGTGGTGGACAGGGAGCTGCATCCCACAGACCCCCAGGATCCCCCTGCCCTGGCAGCCGCGGCTCAGCCCCACGCACTCCCCAGAACATCCCCTCCTTTGCACGGGCTCACCCCGAGCAGCCGCAATCTCCTCCTGCCTTTCCTTCGGCAGCAGCTCGGGTGGGATGTGAGCAGCATCCTGGGCCTGCTGCTGCCAAGGGCTGCTGTTAATGGGAGTGCTGGCGCGCTCAGCACCCACAAATCGCTTTCTGGGATTCATAGCCTAATTAAAACCCGTGGACAACAACGTTTCGATGTTCGTGGAGAGGTTTTGGAAAGGCGCCCTGGCTCTCCCGCCGAAGCTCCAAGAACAACAAAGCTTTGGCAATAATGGGAGTGCTTAGGCTAAGAAAAACAGGGATGAACTCCCGGCCCTGGCGAGGCGGGCGCTTCCAGCAGGGCTTGTGTTGGCCACGGGAGCAGCAGGAGCCCCTCTGCAGTGGGAGGCAGCTTGGGAAATTCCACCCGTGGGCAGGGACACCTTCCACAAACCGGGTTACTCCAAATCCCCCCCAGCTCTGTTGGGGTGCTGGGCACAGGGTCGCGTCCTCCTGGTCCTGCTGGGCAGCTCCTTCACCCTGGGCAGCCCCCGGGGCAGTGCCAGCCCCCACTGCCCTACCCAGCCACCTCCTGCCTGTCCCCTGTGTCCCCCAGCCCCTGTTCACCCTGTCTCTGTCCCCTGTGTCCCCAGCTGCTGTTCCAGGAGACCAACCCCGGGGTGAGGTACCAGTACACGATCCAGCGCCCAGCTGACAGCGAGAACGAGATCGAGCAGCCCGAGTTCCTGTGGCGCTTTGGCTCCTGGACCACCTGCACGGCCACCTGCGGGACAGGTGAGCACAGCCTGGGACACGGCTCTGAGCAGTGGGGCATTCCTGGGAGCCTTTGGGATTCCTGGCGCTTGGGTTTCACGGGTGCTAGGGGAGAAGCAAGGCACATCTGCTGAGGTCGTGCCCGCGGTGCTCAGCAGGAACCCCAGGGCTTTATCAGTGCTCGGTGTCCTGTTACCCTGCACGGGATGGAGACAAAGGAGCTTTAGAGAAGTCAGGGAGTGTGGAAGGGCTGTCTCCTGCCTGGCTGGGCCTCTCCAGGGGGAGGATATCCAGGGTTTTACAGAGAGCACTGCGGTCCCACAGTGTCCGTGTGTGGATGTTTGCTTCCCCCCTCCTGCCCCACTGGCTGGGTGTCCCAGGGTCCCCAGGGCAGCTTTTGGGGCAGGGGGACATTTCTGGAGCACTGCCAGGGGAGGCTGGAGCAGCAAGCATTTCCTCGAGAGCAGCTGGCACCGGAAAAAAGGGGAATTCAAGGACACTTGTGCTTTCTAGGTAGCACAGAGTGCCAGGACATGGCTTTGTTTGAAACCAGCTTTTCTATGTATGATTCGAGTGCTTGGCTTCCAGAAGGGAAGGGAAATAGAGGAGTGAATCAGGCAGGGGTCGGGTGAGGGTGAGGAGGGCTGAGCCCCTCTTCCTGCTCTGAGTGACGATGTGAGATGAGATGGGGTTTGGGAGAGCTCACAGCGAGCCTCTGGTGCGTCCCAAGGCCCTGCAAGCTCCCAAGTGCTTGAGCCGGAGCCCAGCCCAGCAGCTTCAGCAGGGTTCTGTCAGTCTCAGCTGGGTCTGTGGTGACAGCTCTCCATGTCCCAGGTCAAGTACGTGTTACAGAAACGGGGACAGGGCTGGAGCGAGGCCGTGTGCTGAGGTCACCATGAAACCCCTGCGAGCAGCCTGGGGACGCGAGGCCTTGGGCAGCGTCTGTCCCTGAGCTGGGCAGGGGCAGGGCTGCCAGAGGAGCCCAGTGCTGCCCCTTGGGTGTGCTCCGGGCAGTGGTGCCAGCCTGGTGCAGCTCCGTGGCTGCACGGCTCCAGCTGCCATCCTGCCCCGGTGCCAGGGCTCTGTGAGGGCAGCTCAGCCTCAGCACCAATGAACCTGCACCTTCAAGTGGTGCTTTCATTTCCTTCCCACTGTCCTGGCTCACCGAGTGAACCCTCCTGTGCCCTGCTGGGTGGTCGGGTTCGGTTTCCAAAGCAGTGCTGGTGCCTGTGTGGTGTCAGTGCCCCCAGGGTGGCTCTCCGTGCCCGGGGGTGCCCTGAGAGCCCGTTTTCCCACAGGGGTGCAGCGGCAGGTGGTGCACTGCGTGGAGAGGCTGGCGGGGCTGGTGGAGGAGCGGTTCTGCGATGCCCTGACGCGCCCCGACGACCAGCAGCGCACCTGCAGCGAGGAGCCCTGCCCAGCCAGGTGCCACCCGCCCTGTCCCCCCTCCCTCGCCCTGGGCAAGGGCCCCAGGCCCTGGGCTGGTCTGTGACAGCATCCCTGGGGCTGTCTGACTGCTGCAGGCATTGCCTGTCCTCAGGCTGAGCCTCACAGATGGTCCCATCCTGGCAGGATGCTCCTCTCTGCCTCTGTGCACATAGCCCTGGCACAGCCTGGGGACTGTCCCATCCCTGACCCTCTGTCTGAGCTCCCAGACCTTGGGCTGACACATTTGGGATCCTCCTTTCCCCATGGCCTCACGTGATGGGCAATGGGATGGATTCTGGGGCACAGCTGATTGCTCTGGCTGAGATCTTTCTCTTCTTATTTCCCCTTATTTCCCCCCACCATCCCCCCATTTCCCCCGTTTCCCCTCTTTCCCCTCTTTCCGCCCCTCTTTCCCCCCTTTCCCCCCCTTTCCCCCCTGTGCAGGTGGTGGGTGGGTGAGTGGCAGCAGTGCTCAGCCACGTGTGGCCGGGCAGGGCTGATGAAGAGGACGGTGCTGTGCATCCAGAGCGTGGGGCTGGACGAGCAGCGGGCCCTGCAGCCAGCAGACTGCCAGCACCTCGCCAAGCCTGATGCCACCATGCCCTGCCACCCAGAGGTCCCCTGTCCCTCCCCGTGGGCTGTGGGCAACTGGTCTGAGGTGAGAGGGGACACTGGGGATGTGCCAGTGTCTTACAAAGGGGCGGGAGCTGGGGACGGGGGTCCACGGACACCTCAGTCTGCCCCAGAGTGATGCTGTGTCCCTGTGGGTCCCCATGGATGGGGATTCCATTGCTTGGGGAGGTCTCATGGTGAGGATTGGGGAGTTTAACTGTGCCCCAGCTCCCATGGATGGGAGTTCCATTGCTCATGGAAGTCTCAGGGTGAAGAGGAGGCATTGGGCAGTTTCTCTGCCCCAGCCCTGAGCTTTGCAGCCCCCTCACCCACACAGGGTGAGGGCCACGCTCTGCTTGGCACAAGGAGGGCAGAAATGATGTTTTCAGCTGGACATGGCTTGGAACAGCCTGGTGTATGGGAAGGTGTCCCTGCCCAGGGCAGAGGAGGTGGAACTGGATGATCTTCAAGGTCCCTTCCAAGCCAAATGATTCCATGGAGTGATTAATGGTGACATTCTCTGTAGCCTTGATTTATTTTTCTGTTTTTGTGAATCAGCTTAGCCACAGGCTGAGGGTTTCAAGCAGAAAATGATAACTCCTAATTTAAACAGCCGTTCCAAAAGTGTTCAGAGTGAAGACAAATATCAGGAGAGAAAGGGGAGAGCCTGGGAACAGAGCTTGTTGCTAAGGAACAAATGGAATCAAATGTGAGCAGAGGATTTGAAGGCTAGATGAGAGCGAGCTGGAAATATTTTTCTAGGGGCCCACAAAAGCCACAATTAAGGGCTGAGAAAGAGGGATGCAATGATTGAAAGGGAAAATTACGGCTTGTAGGTGGGTCAGAGCTGGGCAGGGCAGCCCCAGCCCTCACTGCTGGCCTCTGTGGTGTTGGCACCAATGGATCTGTGAGCCCTGGAGAAAACGTGTTTGGGATTTTGAGGTTCTGTAATTTTTCTGTCCTTTAATTTAAAGGGAGAGCCCTCTTTCTTTTCCATTCTCACCATTATTAGGGGATTGGAGGGGCTGGGAAGCTTCCCAGAGCTGTGGCCCTTCTGTCAGCAGAGCCAGCAGGGTGGCACAGCTTTGTCTGCAGAGCCCAGGCAGCAGCAGTGTGCCCACCTGGCACTGGGCACCTGGCCCTGGCACAGGGGCTCTCTGGGGGCCCACAGCTGCTTCTCACTGGGGCTCAGTGCCTCAGGAGGACCCCAGAGCTCTGCACACCCCGCTTTGTGGAGTTTCCAAAGGAGCTGGTTTGTGGTTCTTCAGGGCAGCAGCTCCTTGCAGCCCTGTCACAGTGTTGGTGTGGTAATGGTTGATTCCAGCTCTGGAAATGCCTGGTGATGGCCATTCCCAATGGGGAATCCTGGAATGCTCTGGGGTGGAAGGGACCTTAAAGCCCATCTGGTTCCACCCCCTGCCATGGGCAGGGGCACCTCTCACAAGCCTGGGTTGCTCCAAGCCCCAAATGCAGCAGAAAATGCTGCTGTTCTCCTTTCCAGCTCCTTTTGTGCTGGCCCATCTCAAAGAGCCCATTATGGGGGGATGCTGTGGCCCCACAAAGCTCCCTCCTGACCTTTGCTTTTTCCCTGCTGGGACAACACCCATGTTGTTGTTCCCTGCTTCAAAGAACGCTCTTCTAGAAGAAGAGCTGCAATTCATGGCCATAGGTCACAGGAAAGGCCCATTAGCTCATCTCACCCCTGCCCTTCCCAGCCTCCATCTCCCGGGAAAACTGGGCAGGAAAGCAGGGCAAGGATCACCCTGAGCAAACCCCCACAGCCCCAGCCCTGCTCTGGCACGGTCTGCAGTGGGGCTTTGGGCAGCAATGCTCTGCTGCCAGGGCGGGACTGGCACAGGAGGGACTGGCACAGGGGCCCAGGTGGGTGGTGGGAGCTGGCAAAGGGACATTGAGCCCTCACAGAGGGAGCACTGGCACCACTCCTGGCCTTGCCCCTCTGTGACCGTGTTCACAGGGGTCCCAGGATGAGGGAAGAGATGAGGATCTGACTCCATGTTTCAGAATAGTTTTTGATTTATTATTTTATTATATATATTTATTTATATATTTTATATTTATATTTATATATATTATAGATTTACATATTTTATGATATATATTTACATTGAAACTATACTAAAAGAATGGAAGAAAGGATTTCCTCAGAAGGCTAGCTAAGAATAGAACAGCAAAGAATGATCACAAAGGTTTGTGGCTCAGCTCTCTGTCCGAGCCAGCTGGGCTGAGAGTGGCCATTAATTACAAACATCTAACACGGGCCAATCCCAGATGCACCTGTTGCATTCCACAGCAGCAGATAATCATTGTTTACATTTTGTTCCTGAGGCCTCCCAGCTTCTCAGGAGGGAAAATCCTAAGGAAAGGATTTTCCGTAGAAGCTGTCTGCGACGCCCCGCAGCGCTGTCCCTCTCTGTTCCCTCGCAGTGCTCGGTGACCTGTGGGAACGGGACCCAGCGGCGCCCGGTGCACTGCAGCAACAGCACCGGCACCCCGTGCGAGCCTGCCCACAGACCCAGCCCCGAGAGGGCCTGCTCCTTGCCACAGTGCCACCAGAGATGGGACAGCACAGACTGGTCTGGCAGCGGCTCCTCCAGCAGGGAGGTGTTTAATGACATCCAGTACATCCCCAGCAAGCACGTTCCTCAGTTTAACCCCTTCGTCCCACACGGGCCGGAGTCCAACGACGTCAACGTCATCACGGAGGAGGACTTCTCAGCCAGGAAAGGAAACGTCTTTGTGGATGACTTTTACTACGATTATAACTTCATCAACTTCCACGAGGATCTGTCCTACTACCCCTTCACGGAGAAGGAGAGCAGAGGCGAGGAGCCAAGGGCAGAGCTGAGCACGGATGGCACCGAGGGGCCCTGGGAGGTGCCCACCGAGGCCCTGCTCACCACAGGGCTGGGAGCAGAGAGCCAGGGGCAGCCAGGCCCCCAGGAGGAGCACACCTCTGCCCCTGTGCATGGGCGAGACACAGAGCCCGGGGGTTTAGGCAGGAATCACCTCCTGAGCACGGTCCCCGAGGATGTGGGATCAGCTACTCCCACATACACCACCCATGCCTTTTTGGGGGAGCAGGAGGAGGAGGATGCCGTGCCTGTGCCCCACTCTGAGCACCACCCGCCCACCCAGAGCTCCGTGAGCCCTGACTCTGCACACCACGGCCAGGCAGGGCCCTGGCATGAGCCCCAGGGAGCTGTGCCCAGCAGGAGCAGCCTGGGGCAGGGTGTCCCCGCTCCCTGGGGTCCCCACCCCGCCGGTGTGGGCTGGGGCAGTGCCCGGGTGGATGTGTCCCTGGGGCCAGCAGCACGGGGCAGCAGCAGCAGCGAGGGCACACAGGGACACGGCACTGCAGGGAGAGGCCACGGGGACTCCAGGGAAATGGCTCTGGCCACCAGCAGTGACAGTCCTGGTGCAGCCCCGCAGCCCAGCGAGCAGCACGGGTGGGCAGGGGTGCCAGAGGGGATGCCGGAGGGGATGCTGGACACGCGGGCAGGAGGGCAATCCCATGGCATGCAGAGGGCAGATGCTGCCTTGCCCACCCCGCAGGGCCCGGGCTGGGATGTGGCAGGGAGTGCTGGCAGCCCCCACCCTGTCCTGAGCCCCCCTCCTGTGGGTGCTGATGGGGCTCCCGTGGGGCAGGGAGGGCTCCAGCCAGAGCTGCACAGCCCCACAGCCCCCACCTCCACCCCCTCTATGGCCACAACAGCCCCTGCAGTGTCCCTGTCCCCTGCCATGGCCGGGCCAGCCCCCCAGCCCACCCCCAGGGGCCAGCAGGGTGCCCTGGGCCCAGCCGTGCCCACAGCCCCGGCTCATGGCCCAGCTGCCCACACTGCAGGGTCCCCCCGGGAGTGGGGGGCACAGGGGGTGTCCCTGCACCCGGATCTGGCATCGTCCCACAGCGAGCTGACCTCCCATGGGACCCCCCTCAGCATCCCTGCTCCGAGGGATCCCTCACCATGGGCACCCCCCGGGACACCAACGAGGGACCCCTCACCATGGGCACCTCCAGAGACACCAACGAGGGACCCCTCACTGTGGGCACCCCCAGAGACATCAATGAGGGACTCCTCACTGTGGGCACCCCCAGAGACATCAATGAAGGACTCCTCACCATGGGCACCCCCAGGGACGTCACCAAGGGACCCTTCACCGTGGGCACCCCCAGGGACACCAACGAGAGACCCCTCACTGTGGACACCCCCAGGGACACCAACGAGGGACCCCTCACCATGGGCACCCCCAGGGACACCAACGAGGGACCCCTCACTGTGGGCACCCCCAGGGACACCAACGAGGGACCCCTCACCATGGGCACCCCCAGGGACACCTGCCTCCAGTGACGGGGGGCAGGAGTTGTCCCAGCCCACCCCTTTGCCCCCCCCGCTCTGGGAGAAGAGGCTGGAGGAGGAGGAGGAGGAGGAGGAGAAGGAGGCTCTGCTTCCACCATCTACCCCCGCAGCAGCCACTGCCAAGCCCAGCTGGGAGGTCGGGAACTGGAGTGAGGTACGTGGTGAGTCCCATTGACAGTGTGACAGGGCCAGTGTGGATGTGAGGACCTGTCCCTGTCCTGGCTGCCTCTGGGACGTTTCTCTTGGCAGCATGGGGTCATTAGTGCTATTTAGGACTGGGGTCATTAGTGCTAATTAAGAAGCAACTGGTAATCCAAAGCTACAGGCACCCCCAGCCCCAGGGTGCTGCCCCATTTTCCTCTCTGCTGTGGCCATGAGAATCCAGGGAGCAAACCCTGAGCAGGGAGAGGAAGGGTTGGTCCCAGCCAGAGCAGAAACAGCTGGAATGGGCCATGGAGGAGCATGTTCCTCCCCTTCCCTCCCCGAGTGCTGCCTGATGTGGGATTGCTGAGAGGGGTTTTGGGGCGGGTTTTTCAGCGTTCCCTGTGTTGCAGTGCTCGGCCACGTGCGGCCTGGGCGCGGTGTGGCGCTCGGTGCGCTGCAGCAGTGGCGCTGACGGTGGCTGTCCCATGGCCGACAGGCCCGTCCCCGCCCGGAGGTGCTCCCTGAGACCCTGCTCGGCCTGGCGTGTGGGCACCTGGAGCAAGGTACGGGGCCCACGGTGGCTCTGTGTCCTTCCCCACCATGGCTGTGTGTCCCTCCCCTCCATGGCTCTGTCCCCTTCCCCACAGTGTCTCTGTGTCCCTCCCCACCGTGGCTGTGTGTCCCCTTCCCCACCATGGCTCTGTGTCCCCTTCCCCACGGTCTCTGTGTCCTCCCCAGTGCTCCAGGAGCTGCGGCGGGGGCACCAAGGTGCGGGACGTTCACTGCGTTGACACCCGGGACCAGCGGCTGCTGCGGCCCTTCCACTGCCAGGCGGGGCTGGCACAGCCGCCGGCACAGCTGCCCTGCCACAGTGCCCCGTGCCTGGACTGGTACACGTCCTCCTGGAGAGAGGTACGGGCTGGACTGGGCCCCGCTCGGCCCACCCTGCCATGGCTGGGACACCTGTGCTATCCCAGGTGGCTCCAAGCACCAGTGTCCCACTGGCCTGGGCTCCGCTCGGCCCACCCTGCCAGGCCAGGGACACTCCTGTGCTATCCCAGGTGGCTCCAAGCCCTGTGTTCCACTGGCCTGGGACACTGCCAGGAATCCAGGGGTACCCACAGCTGTGCTGGGAACTGTATCTCGGCTCTTTGCCACTCTCACAATTCCTGCCCAAGCTCCCATCCATCCTTGCCCAATCTTCCATCCATCCCTGCCCAATCTCCCATCCATTGCTGCCCTCTGGCAGTGGGAGCGATTCCCTGTGTCCTGTCCCTCCATGCCTGTCCCCAGCCCCTCTGCAGCTCTCCTGGAGCCTCTTTATGCCCTGGCAGGGCTCTGGGCCCTCCCTGGAGCCCCTTTGGGCCCTGGCTGGGCTCTGAGCTCTCTCCGAGCCCCTCCAGGCCCTGGCAGGGCTCTGGTCTCTCCCTGAGCCCCCCCAGGCCCTGCTGTGTGCAGCAGGGGCTCAGCCCTGCCCTGCCCTGCCCTGCCCTGCCGTGCCGTGTGTCCCGCAGTGCTCGGAGCCGTGTGGCGGCGGGGAGCAGGCCCGGCTGGTGACGTGCCCGGAGCCGGGGCGCTGCGAGGAGAGCCTGAGGCCCAACAGCACCCGGCCCTGCAACAGCCAGCCCTGCACCACCTGGGTGGTGGGCTCCTGGGGACAGGTGAGCGGGGTGAGCCCTCCAGGGGCACCTGCAGGGAATGGGGAACCTGGGGTGGCTCTGTGCTGTCCCAGGCTGCCCAGGGTGGCCCTGGGGCTGTCCCAGGCTGAGCCCCCGGTCCCCACAGTGCTCGGCTCCCTGCGGAGGGGGCATCCAGCGGCGGCAGGTGAAGTGCATCGACACCAGGACCGGGGTGGCCGAGGAGGACAGCAGCATGTGTGACCACGAGCCGTGGCCAGAGAGCATCCAGAAGTGCAACCCCCAGGAGTGTGACAGCTCCGAGGCAGGTGAGCTGAACCGGGCTGGAGAATGGTGTGGGAGATCTGGGGAGATGGAGGGAGTGGTTCCTACATGGATTGTGTAAGGATGACTTGGCTGCTTGATGATTCAGTGGGAATGTTGTAACTGTAAATGTAAATGTCCAGAGCGTCTGTCCCTCAAGGGACCAGCAGGGTTTTGTGAGCTGGGATGGGCTTGCTGGAGTCAGCAGTGTCACCCAGCACAGGGACACCCCAGGGACCCTGTGGGGTGAAAGGACCCATCCAGAGGCAGCAGGGCTTTCAGGGAAAGGAAGGCACAGGGAATACCCAATGATGGAGCTCTCAGGAAGCTGTTCAGTGGTAAAGTCCCAGAACACAAGACTTGTGAAACAAACTGGGTCCAGCATGATAAAATGGAACAAAGGAACAGTTCTCCAGCATCTTCAGGTGTGTCTGAGGAGGTGCTCCAGGGAGCCAGCCCCTGTTTATCCTTTACCTGCCCCAGCTGCAGCCACGGTGCTTGGCCACACCACGGGCACTCACTTGGCTTCTCCTCCCTCTTCCACTCACAGAGATACAACCCAAGCACCAGGCACTTCCCTGGGAATCAGAAATCTGGGCACTGCAAGGGTTAACAGCGCTTACAGAAATGCAGAATAATGAGGGATTAGATGTCACTGATATCAGCAAGTCAGTCACTTACCAGCTTTATCTCTTTAATGTGCCTGTGCAAAAGAAAATCTCTGGCTGCCCAGAAGGTATTGTTGGGCCTCCAGGAGGTTTGCTGGCCAAAGGGAGGGCTGAGAGGTGGGGCAGGGGGGCAGCAGTAGCTGCCTGGGGTGGAGGAGTGGATCCATGGCTGCTCCACACATCCCTAAGGTCCCCTCTGGACACCCACTCCAGCCTCCCAGCTCTCCTTGTTTATCCCGACACCAATTCCAGAGCAGGCAGCGCTGGCTTTGGTTAGCTGGGATTTGGGCACTGGCACTGCTGGCCATCAGGATGTTTTCAGCCATGAATCTGCTCCTTTTCTGGAGCATTTGCAGGGCCATGGGGCACTCCAGCGTTTAGGAAATGGTGAGTCAGCCCTGCTCAAGACGCGATGTGCGGTTCCGGCTGTTTTGGTCAGGGGAAAATTTCCGTGCCAGGCTTGGTGATGAGAGCTGTGGAGCCAAGGCTGGACCAGAATAACCACTGAGATGTGTAGGAAGCACACAAGTAAATGGTAAAAGCCTGGATCAAAAATGACATAAATGCTCTGGCTGCAGCCCAGGGCAGGAAACGCCTCTTGGAAATACAAACGTTTCCAGCCAAAGCATGAAGGGGAGCAAAACTTTCACATGGCAGGAAATCCCAGATGTGTAAATGCGCAGGCAAAGGCTCCCAGAAAGACAGAAATGTAACTCTAGCCCTTTCCTGTGCTTTAGGGGATCTTTACTGCACAAATGGGCTCAGGCTGGAGCGATCCGTGTTTTTGTGAGGAGCGCAAGGAGCCTCTCCCTCCTCTGCACAAGGTGCCAGGGCTGGCTCTGTGACTGCCCATGTCCTCACTGGACACAGAAGTGCCAATAACCCCAGCAGGGTTTAAATGTTCAAACCATTATCAGATGGATGTGGGGCAGAGATGGAACAGATGAAGCACAAACAAACATCTCACAGCAGTCGGCTCCTCAATTAAAGGAGGTCGGGATTAATTAGAACCAGAGTTCTGAGCTGTTGCCAGGTTATAAATTAATTGGAGATTCCGCCAAGGTTATTTTTGAATGTGGCTGTTGCCTTACAGCTGCAGCCAGCTGTGAGGGTGTCCTTAGATGGCTCCTGGGAGCTCCAGGGCCGTGGGCACCCCAGTGCCTCCGTGTGATGCTCCAGAGCCTAGGGATGTTTATCTGGGAATTGTTTGTGCTGTCATGGAAAGGAGCTGGGCCCAGGTCAGCGTGGGGGCCTGGAGGAGCCTGCAGCAGTTCATCCAGATTTAAACCAGATCAGACAGATTTAGACCAGAAAAGTGGGAATTGCTGTGCACTGGAGGAGGAATCAGGGTGAACGGAGCTGGTCACTCAGCTGGTCCCTGCAGGGGGGTGGCTGTGCTGGGCACAGCAGCTCCTGGTGGTGGTGGTGGTGACACATCCCTGCCCAGGCCAGAGCAAGGCAGCCCTGGGTGCTCATCAGGGCCATACCATGGAATTAATCAGTTCTCTCGGGCCCATTTCTCCAGATCTGATACCAGGGAGGTCTCTGAGCTCCCCAAATCTGCCCAGGCAGGTGATGGGGCCAGTTGTTGGCTCCAGCAGCAAACACAGCTGCTCCACAGGTGTCTCAGCCTGGAATTCCAAGGGGATGAGGTGCAGGCTCCACTGGCTGAAGGACAAGGGTGTGTAAAGTGCTGTGTGTGTGTATCCAGTGGTGCAGCTCCTCTGGGACAGGATGGAGCCCAGCCCGTGTCCTGGGAGCAGCAGTGCCTGGGGCCAAGGAGTGAGGGCTCTGCTCACACAGGGTCAGCCCCTGACACCATCTCTGTCCCACTGCTCCTGTTTGCTGGCTCCTTAGCCAGGGCTGGCTGCATTTCCATTAATTGCCAATTAAACGTGCTGCTCCTGCTTGCTCTGAGCGAGGAAATGAAATTGTCCGTGGCTCTGCAAGTCACAGAGTTCATCCACAAGGGATCCATGTGGGAAATAATTGCAGCAAATCCCAATTTTCTCTGCCATTTGAGCGTGTAAGTCCCTATCCGAGTGGCGGGGCCAGGAGGTGCTGCTGAGTGAGGCATGGAGAGCAATTAATTAACTGCTAATTAACAGCAGGAGCCAGTGGGAAAGGGATGCTGCAGAAAGGACTCCCTGTTTTGATAAAATGTAGGAGAAAGATGTTGTCTGCAGCAGGGCTGAAAACTGTGGGGTTTGTGGGTTTCTCCCAGTTTTGCCAGCTGTGGCTGTGTCAGCGGGGATGAACCCCATGCATCCCCTCCATCCCCTTCATCCCATCCATCCTCCCCATCCCCTCCATCCCCTCATGCTGACCAGACACCGAGGGAGGCACCTCAGCCCCAGAGCAGGACCCTGGGATAATTTACTTGTTAAATTCAGCCTTGGCTCTGAGAGCGTCCCGAGGGCCAGAGGTCAGCAGCCTAATTCCCTGGATTTGCCAGCTCAGCTCCGAGCTCAACCTTTCCTTGTTTTCACAAAACCTGTTCCAGGAAGTTTGTTTTTCCCAGGAATAAAAGTAAAAGCTTAGGCCTGGCTGGCAGAAGCTTAAATGAAATTTAAAGCGACTTCCACGCCGACCTAAAAAAACAGCCCCAAAAAAAGTGGGGGTTTTCAGTCCCTAATGTGCTGACTTAGCCTGGATTTTTAAAGCCCTGCTTTAAGCTATTTCTTTAGCCTAAAATTTGGCACGGAATTATGGAACGTGTTTCCAAATGAAGTGCGAGCATTATATAAAAAATTGTTAATAGAAAGAAATAGCAGTAAAAGAATTCAATGAAAATTGGGTGGGTTCTGTAGGTCCCTCTCTGAAGAGCTGACAAATTAAGTGCTTATTGCAGCTTCCCTTGCCCAAGCCCAAATTCCAGGGAGGAATCAGCAGCTCAGCCAAGATTTTCAGACCTGAGGCTGACCCTGCACGCATCCACCCTGAGACTGAGCAGGATCTGGGAGAGTGATGGGAACTCCGCGACTCCCACTGGCTGCACGGAGCTCAGGGAGCGCTGGGAACGCTCTCAGGCCTGGGCTGGGACCGAGGGGGTGTCCTGTGCAGGACTGGGATGGTCCCTGTGTGTCCCTGCCAAGCTGGATATTGGATCGTCCATGAGGTCACTTGGCCTTGGAGCCCGGGGTGCTGCTGGGGTCTCCTGTGGGGTCAGCAGAGCTGCAGCCAAGGGTGCTGGCTGCTCTCCCCATGCCCAGGCCCATCCCTGCTGTTGTGCACAGGGAGCCCATCCTGGGTGCCTGAGGAGCTGTTCAGAGAGCAGTGACCCCTGGCAGGGTGGGCTCGGTGCTGCCTGGGCATGGGGCAGGGACAGGAATTTCCTGATGGGCCCAGGAATTTCCTGAGCCGCTGGAGAGGGAGCAGGAAAGAGCTGAACCATCACCCCAGGCCTGGAAAGCAGCGTGAGCCTTCCCAGCTCTTTCCAGGGAAGGTGGCTTGGTTGTGGTCCATAAATAACTTTCTAGGAAGCTGTAAGTGCTGAATGTCCGGAGGGGCTGGGCAGGCAGGGAATATCCAGCAGTGCCCAGGGCATTCCCACCAGGGCAGAGCATCCCCCAGCAGTGCCCAGGGCATTCCCACCCCTCCATGGGCATCCCCCAGCAGTGCCCAGGGCATTCCCACCCGTCCATGGGCATCCCCCAGCAGTGCCCAGGACATTCCCACCCGTCCATGGGCATCCCCCAGCAGTGCCCAGGGCATTCCCACCAGGGCAGAGCATCCCCCAGCAGTGCCCAGGGCATTCCCACCCGTCCATGGGCATCCCCCAGCAGTGCCCAGGACATTCCAGCCTGCTCTCTCAGCAATGCTGATCCAGCAGTGCAGTGATAAATCGCTTTTTGGGGACACAGGGACACCCTGGCTGGGCGCAAGGAGCTGCAGCTCAGGAGGCAGGGAGGAAATACCTCAGCTGAAACAGAAAATAAGTTTTAGAGCAGTGTAGTGGCCTCCTCTCTGCTGGGCTGGGGGAGGGGGCTGTGGCTGAAATCCCAAACCAGGGAGAAGTCTCTGCTCTGCATCTGCCACATCCCTTGCTTCAGCCCCTCCCGTGGGAATGGGGGCAGCAGCCCTTCCCTCAGCACAGCCTTTGTTCCAGAGGGGACAGGGAGAGGGCCAGTGGTCAGCCAGAGCTCCCCTGTGTCCTGAGAAAGAGGAAATCCCATTGCCCTGCCCCATTTCTGTCCCATGGCCCAGGGAGAAGCAACGGGGGGTTGGCCGCAGAGTGCATCAGCTCTGCCCTTTTGCAGAGAAAAGCTGTCGTCTATTTTAGTTCCTTGTACAGGAGGTAAAATTGGAATCACAGAATCTTAGATTTCAAGCTTAGGCTCGGTTTTGAGTTGATGTAATTTATGTGAGTCTGACACCGCTGGGTGAGAAGCTGCAGGCTCAGCGAGTCGGGCCTTGCTCTGAGATAGAGAAGGAGGAAATCAAAAACTCCAACCAAGCAGCTCTGTATTTATATAAACCATGAGTACTTGGGGATGGGTCTGTGCTGCTGGACTGAGCCCAGTGGGGCCTGGGCTGCCCCTGGAGCAGCCGTTCCCTAAACAAAGCCTGTCCTCAGAGCAGCACCAGAGTTGTTCTGAGGGCTGCAGGACACCTGCAGGAAGCGAACCAGATGATGCAGGTTCTCAAAATAACCTAAACAATTCAAAGAAAAAAGGAATTCTGGCCTTTCCGCCACTCTGCTGGCACTGGGGGGCTGCAGGAGGTAACACTGGGGGGGTTTGTCCCCTGCACCTCAGCTCTGTGCCCTGGGCAGGTGCTCTGGAGCTGCTGGCAGAGCACAGGTGTGCTTCCTGCTGGGCATGGGCAGTGCCCCAGGTGCTTTGGCAGCAGCACAGGTGTGCTTCCTGCTGGGGACGGGCAGTGCCCAGGTGCTCTGGAGCTGCTGGGGACGGGCAGTGCCCAGGTGCCCAGGTGCAGGAGGGCTCTGCCCTGTCCGTGTCTCCGCAGCCTTGCAGCTCCCACAGATTCTGGGTCGGTTTGGCTGGAGGGACATTAACGATGATCTCGTTCCCACACCAGGCACCTGGTGCCCGTGGTGCCAGCGATGATCTCGTTCCCACACCAGGCACCTGGTGCCCGTGGTGCCAGCGGCACTGACACCCTCCCGTGCTCCTCTCTCCCCTCCAGGTGTGCCCTGCGAGCGCGACCGCCTGAGCTTCGCCTTCTGCCGGACGCTGCGGCTGCTGGGCCGGTGCCCGCTGCTCACGGTGCGTGCCCAGTGCTGCCGCAGCTGCCAGCCTGCCCTGCCCGCGCCCGGGCAGCAGCGCGGCCGGCAGCGCCTGGCCCGCAGGTGACGGCGCCGTGCCCGCCCGGGCTGGCACCGCCGCTCCGCGTGCCCGGCGCGCCCGGCTCTCCGGCCCCGCCGCTCTCAAACGGTGCTCAAACCATCCCCGGGGCTGCTGCTGGGGCTGGGCAGGTCCCGCTGCTCCCCACCCACACCCAGGGGATGCTGCCGGGGTCACCCTGCCCCAGCGTGCCAGCGGGAGGCAGGGGAAAGGGAACTGAAAGCAGCAATAATTTGGGGAGAACCTCTCAGAAATGCTCATGGTGCTATCATTTGACATTTGCAGCCTCTCGAAGGTGTTGGCTGGCCAGCACGAACCTTGATTTTTATTGTTATTTTTGTATCTCTGAGGTGAGCATCCAGCATTCCACCGGCTCTGCCGACCCTTTGGGGTAGGGGTTTTTTATTTTAACTTTAAGGGACTTGAAGCTGGCAACCCACTCGTGTAATTTTCATTAAAATGTTCACACACTGAAGCGAAATAGATTTAATTTAAGAAGTGGAGGCAGGGCAGAGGAATAGTTTCAGCTTCAGCTGGGGCTGTGCAGGGCTCTGTCTCCCCACTGCTGGCTTCCTCTGCCAAAGCCATTGCTGTGTCCCTCTGGAGCAGAGGGCAGCACCAGGGACACCGAGGTTTGGAGCCCACCAGGGCATTCCCCTGCATGATTTGGGCAGCAGAGGGAAGCTGCCCTGGCAGTGAGTGGCACATCCCCTCCCTCGTGGGCAGCCAAGTGCTCAGTCCCTGGATTTCTCTGTGTAGCAGTGTAATGCTTGGTTAAGGTGTTTTTCTGTGGCCTTACGGGCTGAACCCTTTTTTCCCTGCTTATCTAGATTCTCCTCTGTTAAGGTTAGCTGATTTTTAACTAGAATATCCAATTTACTCTGAGGCACAGCCCCTACTGCCTGCTCCCAGAGCGGTGTGGGAACAAATCCCTGCCTGTCTGAGGAGGGATTCCTGCCAGGTTGGTCTCTGGAGGAGGGCAGGAGCCTTTAGGTAGGAATTCCTTTCCCTATTACTCTTCAGGCTGTGGAGGGTGCCCAGAACCTGGGGGACCTTGAAGGGCAATCCTCCCTGCGTGGGCAGAGCCAGGCTGGAGCCCATCCCATTTGGGCTGCAGAGCTCCAGGTGCAGCAGCACTCAGCCCGAATCCCTGTGTGTGATTTGTATGTAAAACACAAGCCATGACCTCACCATTTGTGCTTTATTCCGTTTCAAGGCGGCGTACAGTTTTTATGGTCCAAGAACCTGTGTCCAGTCCTGGTTTCCTTGTCCCCAGCACCATCTGTCCCACACCCTGTCACCCTCCCAGGATTGCAAAGGGACGACCCTTGTGCTGGGGTCTCGTGGCCACAGCTCACAAACTGTTAAATTAAACAGTTACTGAAGGAAGCAGGTGGGTTTCACATTTTCTCCTCTCCGTGGGGAATTCTGAAGGTTTTCAGCTAATTGGAGATGGTTCAGGCACTGGCAGCAGGAAGGAAGGATCAGTTTGCATCTGAAAATCATTCACAGCTGCCCTTTGCAACTGGGATTTGTTGATTAAAACATGAGCCGGGCTGATGGGGTAAATCAGTTCTACAAATCAATTTATTTGTGGCACAGGACCTGGTGAGCCCCTCCTGCAGTGCCTCTCCACGTGCAGGGTCCCAGCTGTGGCTGAGGGCACGGGTAATCCCTCCTGTGGGACACCAGGCCGCTTTTAGCCACATAACAAGCACAGAAACTGCATTGTCAGTGACAATAAAACACATCTGGCTTAAATATCTGCGATATTTTCTTTCAGTGAGACACCTCCAGTGAGTGTCTGTGCAAGGAGGCTCTTCACAAGGGCTGGCGTGACAGGAGAAGGGGGAATGGCTTCCCACTGACAGAGAGCAGGCTGGGATGGGATGTAGAAATGCCTTTTTCCTTCTTCTAAAGGCGCTTTTATTGTCTCAACACAAGCAGGATGTTATTCAGACAGAGCTGCTGCGGTGGGGCGAAAGGAGGAAAGGGCTCGTGGATCAAAAGATGTTTGAAATAGGATCGTGGAATGGTTTGGGTGAGAGGGGACCTGACAGACCATTCCAGTCCTACCCTGTGGCAGGGGGAGGAACTGGATGGGCTTTCAGGTCCCTTCCCACCCAAAGCCCTCCGTGCTTCCATGATCTCCGGGAGGACTCTCTGAGAGTGCGCGTTCCCAGCTTTGGAGGAGCATCCCGAGTTGGCTTCAGACCAGAAGTCAGACCTTGGTGCCTGCCTTGGTCACCCCCAGCCGTTTCCACGCTGGAGCCAGGAAGGAAGAGGAGCTCGTTGGTGGGGAAGCAGCAGCAGCAGCAGCAGCTGTGGAGGAGCCTGTTTGTGCCTCAGGCCCTCGGGAACGCTGCAAGCGCTTCCGCAGCCCCGGGAGCTGCTGGATGTCCTGGCAGAGCACCTGTGGTCACAGCTCTCAGACCTCACCTCTGTCCAGGCGCCTCTGTCCAGCCCAGGTGACCTCACCTGGAGGGATTCGGCTCCCAAGGAGCCAGGGGGGACCCCAGTCCTGCACCATGGGCTGGGAGGGACACAGTCCCAGCCTGGGCAGGCAGGAGCCAGCAAAGCCAGGGGGGCCAGGAGCAGCTCAGCTCCCACCTGTCCTTTCCAGATAATAATAACAAATGGGTTTATTTCCTCCTGTTCTTAAAACCTCCTTGTGCCGCACAGAAAGGCTTCACAGGCCCAGCACAGAGGGGCAGCGAAGCCAGGACAGCAAGGGAAGGAGCTGAAAAATGTCACTGGTTGATGTTTTTGTTTGGGTTTTATTGGCAGCTGATCCCTGCCAGCTGCTCCGGGAGGGAACAGCCCTCACCCATGCCCCCACCTCGGGGTGCTGCACCCCGGCCGCAGCTCCAGCAGCTCATCCCGGGGCTGCCATTGCACAGGGACATTCCCGGGGGGATGTAAAGCACAGAGAAGGGCAGGAGGGGAGGGAAAGGAGCTGCCCCCTCCCCAGCTGGTACCAGCGCACGCTGTGTTCGCTCACCCGGAGCAATCACTTGGTTGGGAAATTCAGTAAAGCTGTTCCACATGTGGGAGGGCAGGGCTGCCCCAACCCACAGCCCCCAGCCCGCTCCGAGGGAAGGCTCAGCCGGGCGTAAACATTTAGAAATACCCACGCGATAAAAATAGCTCTGTCTGTACACGCGACTGCTCCGCTGCCGTCTGCGGTGAGTAAGTTACACCCCGAGTAAAGTGTGTGCAAACCCGAGCGCTCTGCGCGGCCCTGGGGCAGGGGAGCAGCCCCCGGCCCTCTCCTTCCTCCTGCAGCCGGGAGCTCCGGGATGGAAACGGGAATTCAGCCCTGGAAAGGCGGCTGGGTCCCCGGGATGGATCCCCGGGCCGGATCCCCGGGATGTTCCCGGGATGTCCCTGGAGCCGGGCCGGGTCCCCGAGCTGGATCCCCGGGCTGGGGCCCCGGGATGGCCCCGGAGCCGGGCAGGGTCCCCGGGGTGTCCCCGAGCTGGATCCCCGGGCTGGCTCCCCGGCAGGCTCCCCCCGGCACTGCGGGGCCGTGGCTCGCTGGTGCCCTCTGCAGTTGTCCCTCCCCGCTGTAAATGCACAGGATTCCTAATCCCAAGGAACGATTTTAGGACTTTTTGCTCCAGGTGGGGGCGGTGGCCCGTGTGTGTCCTCACGGGTTTGGAGGAGCATCCCGAGTTCCTCCAGCACCCCAAGTCCTGCCCGATGGGATCCCCTGGAGCTGTCCCTGTCCCTCCTCGGTGGTTCCCTGGCTGTTCCTCTGTCGCCTCAGTGTCCCCAGAGGCCCACGGCAGCAAAGCCCCTGCCCAGCCCGGTCCGTGGGGCAGCAGCAGCACGGAGGGACAGGGATCCCCAGCCCGGTTAAACTGGGAACGCTGGGAATTGCAGCTCCCAGTGCCGCAGCAATGCTCCGCTGCCCGAGGAACCGGGAACATCCCTGCTTCCGGGGGCCCGGCTTTGGAGTCTGGCCCATTTCCCCAAATTGTCGCTCCAGAGAAGAACTTTTAACCTTTTGTGCCCCAGCACAAGGACCCCAGGGCACTGCAGGAACCAGGACAGCCACCCTAGGGTCACCAGGGCATCCCATTGCCTGTCCCCATAGCTTTTGTCAGAGCTGGGGGTGCAGTGTGGGCGGTGGCACGGAGCCGTGCAGGGGGACACAGAGCCCCCAGGAGCCCCCCAGGACAGGAGCTGCTATCTCCTGGCCCCAGGAGCCGCAGAACCTCCGTGCTGGCAGAGATATCTGCACTCTGAAAAGAAAATACCAACCCCCCTGCTGGAGGGCAAAAAAAGGGGAGCAAATTCCAGGAAAGAAGGCAGCAGATAAGGGCAGCTCGGGCTCCTGGAGCATTTGGTCCATCCTGCAGGAATGACCTGCCTGGGCCCCTTCCCAGCCACGGGGTGGGACACAGGACATGTCCCCTGTGCTGGCACACAAGGCACACCCATCCGTGGGCTACAAAGCAGTTTGAAATTTAACTGAAATGTAATTGAAGCTGAGTAACTGGAGTTGAGAAGTGTTTTTTCACACCTGCACGAACCTGTGGAAAAAAGGAGATTGTTCTCCTCCCCCTTTAATTAATTTTTTCAGCTGATTCGGCACCTGAGGAGAGGAGCGTTGCAGTGCCATGGAGCAGTTCAGTGGTTTGCCGAGGGGAACATTCCTTGTTTATAATGCTGAGCCCATTCCATGCTTCCATGCCCTCAGGGAAGCTTTATGGGGTTTATTAAAACGGCCACAAATCCCTGAAGTCCCCACAGATGTTTGCTCCGTGCCCCAAGGATCTCTCCCCGTGGAACTCAGCAGCTCCCTGAATCCCTGAGGAGCCACGGCAGCAGATCCTGGACACCTGCCCTGGACGAGGAGCAGGAGGGAACTGCCTGAGTCCCAGGCAAAGGTAAATCCATAAATCCATGCTCAGATCCATGCTGGGAACGGCCCCAGTGGGAAAGGTGGGCAGCTGGAAATGCTGTGGGTGTTCCAGGTGAGGGCAGTGAGGGAGCAGCGACAGGAGCAGGACAGTGGCAGCCAGCAGAAGCAGGGGCTGGGGGATGCTGCCACCTCCCACACTGCAGAGAAGTCAGAAGGAACAGCAGGATCGAGTTCTCATCCACAGGGAAACTTCACCCTCAGGGTGGTTATGAAGCAAAGCTTCCAGAATCAGAAGTGTGCGACATTAACAGGGAAAAAAGCACAAGGATTTGGCAGGAATTGTGCCCCAGTAAAAATCTCCTTGTTCTAGTCCAGTCCCTCAGCTCCAAATTCTTTTGAATTAATTTCAACTTTAATGTTTATCAACACTGAAATGTTGAATGAAATTAATTTCTGTAATAGAAATCTAAACTTGATTCTTAAGAAAAAACCAAAACAAATTCAGGACCCAGAAAGCAACACTTCAGTACAAGAATCTGTTTTATTTTTACAGTGCAGTGATTGAAACAATGTAGAAATTCAACTTGCAAAACTGAATTTGTATCACAACGTCTCTCAGAAGGCAATGCAGATGTGTTGCTTTGAATCACAAAATATTCCTCTGGACACCAAAAATTACAAACTCCCAGCAGTATACACCGGGCTTCCTTTAGAGACCGATTCCTCATAATTTAAATCTATCTTATAAACAATTTCTCCTTTAAAAAAACCACACGGAAGATAAAAACAACTCAAGTACAAAGGCCGAGGCGTTGCTGCTTTGATCAGCTGGGCTGCAGCAGGGCTGTGTCCCTAGTCGGGCTCGGTGACGCACTGCTCCACGATCTCGCGCAGGTTCGGGTTCTCCATGGCTGCTGCCACCCTCTCCTTGTCATTGATCTGCTTGTTGACTGCAAAACACAGCACGGGGCTCAGCAGGAAAGGGCATTTCGAGGGGCATTGCTGGGAAATGGGGAACCAGGCAGAGGCAAGAGCAGTCACCACAAAGCAACCATGGGAAATCAAAATTCCTGACGCTTTTCCAGCTCAGGAAAAGGCTGTGAGGTGTTCCAGTGGCGTGTCCCAAACCCAAGAGTGAAATTCAGGGTAAATGAGAGGGCCAGGTTCAGTGTGCAGCTCTTTAACCACAATATCCCATGTCTGGCAGGCACTGAATGCTCTGGACACTGCTGGGCTCTGGCTGGGCAGAACACCCAGGTAGGTCCTGCCAGCTTTCCTGCAAAACCTGCCTGAGAAACCTCCAGATTTGCTGTGGGGAGCTCAGGACAGTGGGGCCAAGGGCTGAGGCAGCTCCTCATGTCAGTTACTCAATTTTTGTTACAAACACCTGCCAGAGCTGGGGGGTTTTGTTATAAACCCAAAGCAGCAGCCAGCAGGCGGTCACAGAGCCACCACAGCCCTGGGGACACCGCGATGCCACCGGGTGTGCAGGCTCTGACAGGGGGTCAGGTCCTGGGGAGGCAGGGCAGCACAGGACAGGGCACAAGAGGCTGAAGCAGCAGCATGCACAGGCTCTACTCACTGTCCTCCTCCGTGGAATGTGTGCCCTCAGAAATGTAGATTTCCAGCTGCAGGAGAGATCAGCAGGGTTAGGGGCAGCACACTTTGGTCCTGGCGGGAAAACCCCGTCCCCACTCACACAGGGCTGTCACCCTGCTGCCCCAGGAGGGGACGGCTGCCAGGAGCTCCCTTTGCAGCGCTCAGCTGGGAGCCTGGAGCAGCTACAGAACCAGAACCACCACCCAAAAACCAACTGCAGCCGTCCCCAGGTAATTACTGAGTTCTTTACATTATTGGGGCCAAGTCTCTAAAGGTCTGTGTTTAATTTAGGGAGGCTGCCATTCATTCATGGAATTTAACACAGGCTTCAAACCAGGCACTTTACCTTGTGTCTAAAAGGCAAACATCTCTGAAGTTTTATTCTTAAACAAAGGCCTGTTCAAAGAGAACACAAAAGAGATTTTCCTGTAAAAGTGAAGGTTTGAGGAGCATTTTCAGAGAATCCATGTTTAATAACCAGTGTAACTAACAGTGTCCTTTTGTACCTTGAGCAGCACAAGCCACAGAGGGAAAGGGGACAAGCAGAAAGTTGTTTTTTTTTTTTTCTTTTTATAAGAGTTGACAAACTCAATTAATAACCTTACTGAAGTAACTTGGAGAATACAAAGAAGGAATTCTGTACCACTTCCCAGCAGAGTTTTGAGAGGTCCTCTTTGAAGAGATTCCCTAACATGACACAAACAGATGGGAGTCCCCATTTCTCTGAATCTGGAGGTTTTTTTGCTCGGTTTGTTTTTTGGTTTGGTTGCACTGGTGGCTGGGTTCTCAAGCTGCAATTCTGGTCAAACCAACACAGGCAGGCAAGACTGAACCTGCACTGGGACTGGTGGCATCCAGCCAGCCCCCAAGGACCCCTTTGTCTTTGTCTGTGATCTCATTAAAGGATCTCACCGATGAGAGTGGCCAAGGAGCAATGAGGTACTGTTGGCGTAAACCTGATGGTGACCAGATATTCATCCTCCCCTATCTCCTGCACTTCCACGCAGTTTTCCGTCACCACTTCCAGTTCTTCCAAAGTGTTTGGCTTCTCCGGGTCCCGGATAGTCCGGATTATATCTGAGACAAGGGGCACAGTAAGGAATCTTCCCTGGGATTCACAAAGGGATTTCCACGAGCACCCCTTCCAGCACTGCTGACGCTGCACTCTTTGGCAGCCACAAGCGATCCCAACGAGCCGAGCGGGCCCCGTCTCCCTGCCCAGCCCCTCGGGGCCCCCTCAGCGCTCCGAGCCCCTCAGGACCCCGCGCGTTCCCCCTCAGTCCCCCAAGGGCAAACCGGCACCGTGCCCGGGGCTCCCCCCGCGGCCCCCGCGCCCCCCGGCAGTCACCGTAGACCTCGATGGCCCTGTCGTGCTCCATGGCGCGGCTCGGGGGCGCATGGCGGGCGCTACTGGCGGGGCTCCGCCACACCCGGCCCAGCGCCTGCCACAGCAGCGCCAGCGCCAGCGCCATGGCCGCGCTCCGCCATCGGCCCGCGGGCCGCCGCGCTTCCGCCTGGGCGGGGCCGGAGAGGGCCAATGGCAGCCGGGGGCGGGGCCGGGGCGGCCAATGGGCGGGGAGGTAACGGGAACGACGCTCATGGGGGCGTGGCCTCGCGTCCGGGGTGGGGACACGGAGAGGGGACGCAGGGAGATCCCGGGACGCGGAGAGAGTCCGGGACAGCGAGTGGGGACACGGAGGGACCCCGGAACACGGAGGGGGGACCCAGGACACAGAGTGGGGACACAAAGGGACCCTCCCGGGACACAAAGGGACCCTCCCGGGACACGGAGTGACCCCGGGGTAGCTCCGGGACACAGAGTGGGGACACAAAAGGACCCCTCGGGACACAGAGAGACAGCTCCGGGACATAGAGGGACTCCCGAGACAGCCGCTGCCGCAGAGTGGGGACACAGAAGTTCCATGGGGATCCATCTGCGACAGAGATCAGAGAAAAGACTCAGAGAATTCTACTTAAAAATAAAGAAAACTCTGCTGAAGTTGCGGGCCAGGGGAGAACTACAGCTCCCAGCGCGCATTGCCGCTCCGCGGTGCCTGCTGGGGGCTGTAGTCGGGCCCGGCCGTGCCCAGCTGACCGGAACGAGGGGCGGCCCCGCGGGGATGGCGGCGGCTCGGGCCGGGCGCGTCGGGCGGCGCTGAGGCCGGGCCGGAGGATGGCGGCGGCCGGGGTCCCGGCGGAGCTGCGAGTGCTGCTGGTGCCCCGCTCGGAGCAGCCGCGGGGCGCGGCGCGGGTGCGGCTGAGCAGGGCCCGGCACGCCCTGGGCGCCGTGCTGCTGGCCGGCGGCATCCGCCTGGAGTCACTGGGGGCCGGCGGGGCCGGGCAGCGCGGCAGCGTGCTGCCGGGAGCCTGGGCTGAGTGAGTACCGGGAGCCTGGGCTCAGTGAGTGCGGGGCAGGGGGGCAGCGTGCTGCCGGGAGCCCGGGCTCAGTGAGTACCGGGAGCCGGGGCTCAGTGAGTACCGGGAGCCCGGGCTCAGTGAGTACCGGGAGCCCGGGCTCAGTGAGTACCGGGAGCCCGGGCTCAGTGAGTGCGGGCCGGGGCTGCGGGACCGCAACGGGAGCGCTCCCGGAGCCGCGGCGGGGCCGGGTGGTTTCTGTCTGTCCATCCTGCTGGGTCGTGTGTGTCTGTCCATCCTGCCGGGTCGTGTGTGTCTGTCTGGCCGAGTGCTGTCTGTCCGGCCGGCCGGGTGTGCTCTCGGCAGCTGATCCCAGAGCAAACAAGAAGGGTCTGTCTGTCTGTCTGCCTGTCTGTCTGTCGCGCTGTTTCTTCACGCCCCAGTGCCTCCCCCGCAGCCCGGGGCCAGCCCGGGTGACGCTCGGCTGTCACATGGTGGCTTTAACACATGGTGGCTTTAACGCGTGGTGGCTCCAACATCTGCTTGGGCAGCTTCCGTGCCGAGCCAAAAGCACGCCTTAGTTCTGAGCATCTGCAGTGTCCGGCAGCAGCAGCCGGACGTTCTGTGTCACACAGAATCCCCAGCTGTTTCTGCTGTAAGGGACATTAAATCCCACCCAGTGCCACCCCTGCCATGGCAGGGACACTGCCGCTGTCCCAGGCTGCTCCCTGGGGCATTCCGGGGCTGGGCAGTGTCTCACTGCTGTCACAGTCTCTGCTCTCTGGTTTGCCCTGCCCCGTGCTGAGCCGGTCACTCTCTGTCCCCTCCCCATCAGCACGGAGCCGGTGTGACACACCTGGAGGGGTTCTGGGCCCCAAAACCCAATGGGAAATGGAATGGACAGTGTGTTCTGCTCTCCTTGTGCTGGTGCTCTCCTGAGGCAGAGCAGCCCTGGTGTCCTGGGTGGCTTGGAGTGAAAAATGGAGAGTGTGGAACCCCTTTATCCTGGAGAGGAGGAGGAGGAAGAGGAGCTGGGCTTCCTCAGGCTTGTCCTGCCAGGGATGAAGCAGCTCAGTGCTGGGAGGGCCAGGGTGGCACCAGGGGAATCACCGATGAAATGAAGGTGTTGTCCCCAGTCAGTGCACACCCAGAATGGTCAGCCTGGGAAATGGGGACAGGGAATAAAGCTGTGACCTCCCTGAATGTTTCACTTCAGCTTCCTGTGGGACAGCTCCGAAGATGATGGTTCACAATCCAAGACAAAGCTCCTGGCTCTTGCTCAAAGCCATGACCTGTTTGTCTATGAGTTCAGTGTAGAAGATGGAAAACACAACCCCAATTCCCTGCACAGTTGTGAGGCAGAGACGCTGAAAAGGCTCCTTGAAGATAAAAACATCAGTGAGTAAATTCCAATGTGTTGCATGTGTGAAATACTGCAGCTCTGGTTCTGCTGCTCCTGGTGGGATGGAGCACCAGGGAATTTCAGGTACCTCCCCACTGCTCCAATGGGATCAGCAGGATTCACGGGCTTGAGAAATCATGGGGACATTTCTGTGTTCAAAGGTGACATTGCCAGAAAGAATTAAACTCTTGTAGGATCATGTTTGAGTGATACAGAATTAAAAATTAATTTTAATAAGATATATATGCTCTCAAATTTTAACTTTAATATTGGGACTAATGGGAAGAAAAGGGAGACAACGCTCATCAATAACACTGCAAAGACTAATTAAACATTTAACCTTGTATTTTATGATTAGCAAACATAATGTGCAGTTAGAATGAGCCTTTGGTGTTTTACATGTTCTTAAAGTCTCCCTTCCTGAAATATTTTATTTCCAAAGTTTGTAGCTTTTCTTCTCAGTGCTGACTGAAGTCCTATTTTGTGCTGATTTTTTATGTTCTTCATAGTATTGTCTGCTGAAAAAGCCACATAAAAAGTTTTGGGAAATGGTTCTAGAATTAGTGCCCCTGGCACAGAAAGTGAGACTTAAAACCGACCATCCCAAGTCCTGTTAGGGTGGGAACTGGGGCAATGAATTTGAGCTGTCATTTTCTTGGGATTCCTTTACAAATCAAAAGTCTAGCTCGCTGTGATCTGAAATTTAAATATCTACATTTACAGGTCTGCCTTCAATTTCCTCTGTGAAGATTCTGTCTTTTGGAAACAACAAGTGCAAACTTCTGCTCAACCGGTTTCTCCTTGTGCACCTGGCCTTTCCTGGGGAAGGCTCACCCCCAGAGCCCTGTGGCTGCTTCCCCCTGGCCCTGCCTGCAGGAGCTGTGGGGAGGATTGCAGACTCCCAGTTCTGCAGGGGGATCCTGTTCCTGTTGGACAGCGCTGGCTGGATTTGTATCCTTTGCAGGAGAGATCAGGGAAGATCATCTGGAACAGCAGAGCTGCTTCTCTCTGCTGTCAGGGCTGAGCAGAAATTTCTTTACAGACATTTAAGAAGAGAAGGTTGTGCAGCCAAATCCTGGTTATTGTAGAGAAGTGCCACAGCTGTGTGGGCAGGGTTTCCCACTGCAGAGCTGGGTTTATGGGTTATTAAGGGGTTTGATGGGCCTGTGTATAACAGGCTGACTTCTGCTGTCGCCTCACGGCTGAATTAAAGCAGAAATGATCTGCAGGCTCCCAGGGAGCCTGGTGTTGGGATGAGCAGGGGCTCAGGCCTGTCAGCTCCACCAGCTGCTGGCATTGCCCTGTCCCTGCTCATCTCCTCTGGCACACTGGGGCACAGGGAAGCCAGCTTGCCTTTCCCTGCTCCTGGAGCCCCGACGCAGCACCCTGTCCGGCTGGGTCCCTGCTCTCTTGTTCCCTCCAGGCCTGGGCTTTTCCTTGATGCTGCTTGCAGACGTGTTTGACTGCTGTGACGGTGCCAGCCTGGGGAAGGTGGCTGTAGCCCTGGGGGCTGGGCAGGGGCAGGGCCCGGCCCCTGTGTCCCCCCTGGCTGCCCTGGCAGTGTCCCCTGACCTCAGCACGGCCGTGGTGACCAGCAGCTGCCACTGGGCCCTGGCTGTGCAGCTCAACACCTACTTCAGGTACAGCTCTGGGCTCCCTGAGCCTCCCAGCTCCTGAATTCTGGGCCTGTCCTCACCGGGGTGCTGGCAGCTTTTCACTCGGACTTCTGTGCTAGAGCAGAAATTCCCTCTTTGTTTAAAGATTGTCCTTGCACTGCTTGCTCCAGTTTATTCTCTGTCACAAAGGAAACTGTGTCTATAACATGTCCTTGTTTTAATCTGTCTGTTAACAAGCAGATAAACTTTGTCTTGCCCTTCATGTTTTTTCCAGGAAGATGAGGTGCTCTCAGTGCCAGGGGTATTTAGAAATACGGCGGGGAATGGAATTATCAAACTGTACTGATTTAGCTTGATGAATTAGGGCCAGCTGGTAATTAAGAGGTGGTGTCCACCTCACAGAAAAGAGCATCAGGTTTTGATGGCTCACCTGTTACCCTGAGAGGTAACACCCAGAGCTGCAGCTGCACCCAGAGCTGCTGGAGGACTTAAACATGAAAAAAACATCTCAAATCATCTGAGCAAGGTGAAATTTCCTATTTATTTCTTTACAGACAGTTCCCTGAACATTTGTTCTGTAAGAGAGATCCTGAAAATCTGCCAGTGAAGGCTGCAGAGGGGCTGGACGAGGATGAGCTGGCCAGTTCTGAGCACAGCATGGAGCTCCTGCCGCTGCCCTTCCGCACAGACAGGTACGGGGGGAGGAACTCCTGACACAGGCTGGCCTTTGCCTCCTTCGCATCACTGGTAACAAACTGCTGGGCTGTGTTTTCACTTGTAGTTGGGACAGGTAAAATCAGCCATTCTGCTGTAAATGTTTTGAATTTAGGGTGGACCAAGACAGCTTTAGGTGTGGCATTGGACAGCTTCCAAACAGGAATTGCTGCTTGGGGGTTACCTGTGAGTCTTAGAGCATTGATACTAATAATGCATGTCAGTTATAGCTTGGTGTATAGATGAGAAATGTGCAGTTCTGGAGTTAATTGTGTTCTACGTTTTTTAATTTATAACTATTTGTTATCACTTAAAATATAGTAGGACAGTTATATATAACTATCTATAACTGTAATTTATATATAATTATCTATAACTATAATCTATATATAACTGTCTATG